AAGCCTTCCCCTGCTGAGGCCCAGATAAACTCAAGTTTTCAGGAGGACCTAGAACCATCCAAAGCTCATCACAGTGGCTGTTGATCGTTATTGATCCATCGGATTCATCAGACTTGGTACGCCTTCCTGCTTCGACTGGTCCATGTCCGCCAGTCTCGGCAACCTTCGCGCCAGCAGTCACGAGCAGCTTCTCCCAGTAGCAGGCGAGATGGGTGGCGATCGCCCATGCATAGCAGAAAATAGATTGACATCATGTCAATGTATGGAAGTGTTCCCCGGCGCTGTTTTCCTGAGTCCAAAGCTGCTTCGTCTGGCTGTAACTACCCTGGTCTTGTTTGTGTTTGTGCCTTGGGAATCTGTTGGGCTGCGATGATCGCTGACTCTTTTTGTACTGGGGTCATTCGAATTGTCAATCATTCTTCGATCGTCTAAGAGTGATTGCTGACGCAACAGACTTCTGCTCTCATCTGTCTTTCCTTGGGCTGCTTTTGGCCACCACACTGATTGTTTTGCGGGTACAAACACTTATTGTATTCCTTGTCAGGGTGCACACGTGGCAGCAGCAAAATGAGTCTGTCCGTAACTGTTCGATGTCTTTCAATTCCACCGCTTTCAAGCGAGTGGAGGTTAAACACTGAGATGGGGATGGGTCCAAACCTGAGGCCCTGGTCCACCATGCAGCTTACGACCTTCCAGGTAGGTCAACCGGTCGCCAGATCCCCAACAGATCTGCCACATCGCCCCTAGGCGCGACGGCGGCACGCAGGCGACGGCGGCACGCGGCCTCCGTGGGCGGCGCACGTTTGGGACACCGGGCCTGGGTCATGCCTGGCCTGACTGCCTGGCCTGACATAGGCCTCCAAGGATGACGGATGAATCACAGCATCACATATCTAGGTGATGGTTTCGGATATGTTTATTTTTAACCCTTACTTGGGGATGATTGAACATGATTGAACCCTTTGGCTAATATGGTTCAAGTGGGCTGAAAACACAAACCAGATATAACTAAAATCTATACATATGTATGATACAATTATTGTTCTCTACTTGGTTTTACTCGACTTGGATGGTTTCCAAAGAGCCTTACACTTTAGCCAGAACATAGAAAGTGGTCGTATGCTTTGGAGGGATCTGGGAGGAGGACGGATGGGGAGGTCCCAAATCCCACGGAAAACCTTTTCCTTTCGCATCTGGAGATCACTCCTTGGTGCATGCATCGTTCTTGGCTTTGCCTCAAAAGCACGGAAAAACCCGAGCACCCGACGACCACGTGACGTGTCTGGACGACACGCACCACCGGCGCCTAGCGCCTCCACAGGCACGCAGCGCTGGCGCTCCACCACCCAGGCAGAGGACGAAGGATCTGTTGGATCTGTTGGGAGAAGGGCGACACCCCCAAAATCGTTCAGGTTTCTTCCAACAGATTGGGAGTCACACAAAAAACCTTCTGTTGGGAGAAGCGTGACACCCTTCTGTTTGGTATTGATCTTTGGAGGGATGTTGGTCTTCAGGTGTTGCTTTCAGGTTCTTTTTGTTGGGTGTCGATCTTTGCTTTCTTCTGTGCTTTCTGACGTGTGCAATGGCAATGCGACCGTGTCAGACATCCTCGCTCGCGCCAGGGACTCGGGCATGGAGCCCCAGAGTTCGGTAACCCGCGAAGAACCCGAGCCAGGACATTCTCACTGTAGCAGGTGGGCCATGAACTCTGCAATGGAAACCTAGGCCAGGCACTAGAAAAAGAAGTGCTGTGTGTGTGTACCTAGTTTTGTTTCGTTTTGCAATCCTCATTGTTGATCTCTGGGTGCTTGACCTCAGGCATACGCCAGCCAATATCATGGTCATGAGTCATACATGATTGGAATGGAGAGACTGAAATCATATCCTTATGTTTGTCTGCCTGGAGTTCTGTAAACTGAGATAAACATCACTCTTTTGGTTGGGGGTTCGCTCGCCCTGTTTGCTGGGCCATTCTCAACGGTATCAGCTTGAACACAGGAAAATGACCTCATGGGTTTGAGCCTCTTGCAAGATGTTCAGCATGTTTCAGGTCGATAAAAGCTTTAATTTAGGGTGGATGCAACACCAGGGGACTGGAGCTGTTCTCAGGTCACCCCAGGTCCTCTTCCATCTCTCAGCCAAAATCAGCCTAAAGACCCAACTACTCATACTCTACGTAGTTAGCTATAGCATGCAACCGATTTGTGCAAGAAAAAGAGATGAAGATTGAGAAACAGGGAGACCTCCCAAAGACCTGCAAAAAAAGAAAAATATCACAAACCATTGGTTGACGGTCTCCCAATAAAATACAGCTGGTTGTTTGTTCGATCGATCGTTTGAATGCCTTGGATGCCTTGCTGCACCATAAGGTACAGCTGGCACACCTGGTGGCTTCCCAGGGTGGCAAGCGATGTCTTTCTCATGAGAGTGCAGTGAGTGAAGTCCGTAGACTTCGGGCCGAGGTCCAGCAGTGAGGCCAGATGGAACTGTATTCCTTGAGTCGTTCTGGACAGATGTTAGAGGTCAAGCTACGTGACATGTGATTCCACGCGATTCGACATGGTCATGTTCGACCAGCAGGTGCGATCATGTAAGCTCAAGCGAACGGCCCCTTCCTTTCACCCTGCAAGATTTAAAGAATACAGAATACACATGCCCGAAGACAGGACGAGCTGACTCCCCAGAAGCTAAAAGCGCAGCAGCTGAAAGCCGCAGAAGGCTTGCGTCGACTGGCCGCCGTGCGGGCGGTCCAGGAGCTAATGCCGTCAGACGTTCCGGGCGAAAAAAAACGCGCCTGGACTTCAGGGTGGACTGGACCCAAGGGGTTGCCAAGTGCATCATTCTGCTGAGATGAGGGGGTCCACTATAGGTTCATGAAAGGCAGGACACTGTGCTCAACTGCGTCATCTTCGAAACGATGTCAGTTTGGGCCTTGAAACGACTGATGTGGAACTTCAAAGTGCCGGAGTGACCCAGTGTGCGTTCAGAACACGTCATCAGTGGTTTTAAGCAATCTGATTCCTTGGATATCCAGAAAGAAACAAACAAACGCTCCACCCTAAGAATCCGGGCCCTCAAACACATAGAGTTTGGTTCGGGCCCGGACCCCTGCTTTGGAGGGTCCAAGGATCCTTAGGGCAGGTTTAGATTCAGACCTTGAGGCACTGAGATAGACACGTTGAGATAGACGTTGCGATATGTTTTTCCTCACGCGATGTGTTCCATGCCACGAAGAAGAGGAAGAAACACCGACCACTCCTGAAAGGTTCTAGGATCACCATCCAAATTCTTGCATGGAACCCGTCCTCGCAGACGGCCACTTGAAGTCGAATATGTGACGGTTCATTCTCCAGCAAGTCGAGGCTAGGAAAGGAGGCTGGTGTCTCATGTGTCCAACACCCGCATCCAACGCCGCGTCTCCTTGCGTCCAATCCACCGGCAGCGGGGCGGAGGGTCTCCCATCCTCGAAGAGGATGGCAGGTTCTGGCTGTGCTGTGAGTCGTGAGTCGCTTCGTCCAGGAAATCTTCGAAGGATTCAGCTTCTAGCTACTAGTAGCTTCTTGTTCCTAGTAGTAATGCCAGGAGCTACGTTCGTAGCGTCCTTGATCCGTGGGTAGCGATGCCCTTTGTTACTAGTAGCTTCTTGTTACTAGGCGATTGAGGCTTCTGGACTGGACCATCGAAGATTGACCTGCCTTATCCTGCCTTAGGGGGTGGAATGGAGTGGTCAATTGAGGTCTTTGTCTTTTCAACCTTGGGATGATTGAAACATATATTGAAACGCACTGACTCATAATATTCCAGAGAGTGGAAACTCACCAACCAGTCAGATACATGGGCTGGCACACCTCAGAACCCTCCTCGATCCGTTGCCCTCCTCCCAGACCTCCTGGAAGACCCACCACCCTCGTTGGAGGCCCAAGGATCGATTTCGCCCCAGCGGAAAAAGGGACGCCCGGGGCGCAAAAACACGGGGGGTCCCAAGGAAAAGGACGGCCGAAAGCAGATACACTGCCGGAAACCTCACATGGACCCGGAGTCAAATGGGACCTGGAAAGATGGTTGTCCTCTACAAACCAGTGGTTTTCAGGGTCCAGGTTAGTGGGTTTCCACACACCGGTTCTTGTACTGACTCTATGCTGGCGGCCGACCGGACACACCCCAAGGGTCATACGAAGCGAGACTCGCAGCCGACCAGGGAGGAAGTGACCCCGCACCACGGACTGACCGAATCAGCAAGGCGAAACCATCAGACTGGAGATGCACATGTACGGTACATACAGGAAGCAATCTAAAGAGGGCTTCTATACAGGCGCTTCCAATATAAGATGATGTTGGATGATTTCTCTTTTTCGGCTGCTTGGAGTTCGATTCGGGCCGGAACCGGCCCAACTCGAGGGTCTCGAGAATTCCAAGGGCCCAAACCGTGGATGGAGGAACCATGGCACCACCTGTTCCTACCCAGAACCAATGGATCACCTGGAAACCGGTAAAGAAATCCCATGGAAACTGAGGGAGTCAGTGCCCCATTGACCCCCCTGGCACCACCCCTGGCCTGATCGGCAGTCCTATGGCCGTCCCATTAGTCGTCTCTGGGGTTAGCTCTTCGGAACCAAACGGCTCCTGTCCCAGTCGCCGCCGTTGCCGTCCACGTCAAACGCGGTTTTGGCCAGTCAATCGGACGGGACGTTGGAACCGGTCTTCGGCAAATGCAAATGGACAATCGGACGGGTCGTTGGTTTTTTTTCCAGTCAGCTGATGTGAATTTTTTGAGGTTTGCTCAAGGTGAGGATGGAGGCTCTCTATGTCCAATCCCAGTCCTTTCATCGCGCAAATGCAAAGACCAAAAAGAACATGGTATGCAATACAGTTTCGCCGAATCCAAAGCATGGAGCGGTGTTCATGCTTGTATTACACCGCTTCCACCGGTATACTCGCTGAGAACATACTTCGACACCACCGCGCTTGCTTCCACCGCTCCGCGCGAGCGGTGGAGCGAGGTCGTGGACGGCGTGCAGCAGCTCCTGCGGCGCCGGGCGCCGGGGCCGGAGCGTGCTGTGCCCCAGCGGCCAGGCCGGACGGCGCGGCGACCGCGCGCGACGCGGCGCGGAGACGGTGGGTTTAGGGTCGTCCGGGTGGAAGGAGAGGGAAGGAGGAACTGGGAAAGAGGCCACCAGGCCACGGAGAGGGAGTGCAAAAGGAGGACCCTCTTTGGAGCTTTGGAACCAGATGCAATCAAGTCAGGACATGTCAGGGTAACAGTTCACCGTGGAAATTCCGGACCTATGGGACAAGTCTACCTGGGCCGAGAAACTCCCTTGGACTTTGTAACTTTTCAAAAGCACTGGCACTGCGATCCCAGTCGGACCCTTCAAACGGCCAGCGATCCCAGACACAGCACCCTGTGGGCGGGTCCTCTACAAAACTTCGTGGTGGGGTTCTGTGTCCATGTTGGAGGGGCTCCTTTGGATCAAGTCCTCAAGACTTCCATCATCTTCCATCTTTGCACTCGCTATGGATCCACATACCTTCTCAGAAGGTATGTGGGCTCTCCAAGCCTACATAAATAGTCTCCAATCACCTTCTCAGAAGGTATGTGGTATGTGGATCCATAGGGACTCAATATGCCAGGCGCCGCTGCAGTGTGTCATCCCAAAACAGCTGGCACCCAGGAAGGTACTTCGGTGTATTCCGCGAAATCCTGTCAGGCAGCTGACTGTCCATCACCTATGCCAGCAACTGAGGAGGACTGCCTTTGTTTGCGAAAAAGGCCAGCATGCAAGAAATTTACATAGACCTTACTGAATGATTTGCCAGGGCATTCAAACGGACGATAACATAAGTATTGTTGTAGCCATGTATTGGAAACCTTTGGATGGAGAAGACCAGGAAGAACCAGTCAGGGTAGTTTGGTTTGATCCCTGCACTGATTCGAGGATCTAAGAACTTGGCACTTGTGTCACAAGACTGTGTGTGCGTGTGATGGTCACTTCCGGATTGTCATAGAATCTCCTTGAGACCTTGATTCATAGAGGATGTGTTTCGATTCAACGCTCCCCGCACCTGAGGGCGGAGGGGAAGTTTCCTTGAAGCGTTTTCGCTCTCCTGCGTCCAGTTACGAGGAGCGTGAGCCTCCTGACTTCATTGAGTAGCCGGCCTACCTTTTTGGAGTAGTAGGAGGGCAGGCCACGGGCTAAGAATCCAAGACCTTCGTCTTGGAGAGTCGGTTCTCTTCTTTAAGCGTCTATGCTAGACCGGGCCCAACCCACGCGAACCACGCGACAGCGACAGCGAAGCAAAACTCCGGAGGAGTGCTACGAGACCAGCGACTGCCTTTGGATCACGCTCCTTGGCAGCAAGGGAACCGGAGACGCAAGGGTTTCATGGTGACGAAACACTGTGGATGGTGGGTTTTTTTGTTCCAATCCTGTTCACCAGGACCATGCTGCCGGCTTGGCGCGACCAACGGCGCTCGCCTGTGACCGGACACCCGAGTCCAGCATGGTCCAGGGTGCTGTTTCAACTTGGAGGGAGCCAGGCAGTCTGAGTGTGTCAAAATCAGGAAAGTATCCCAACCATTCTCGCAATTCCTATTTCCTACCATGTCAAAATCAGGAAAGTACTCCACATTGCCCAACCATGTCAAAATGCGTGTCCTTTCGCCGATGTCCTCTTTCGAGACACCGAGACACGCGGTCTTCCTGCGCCGATTTGTTGGAGGTCGAATCCTTCATGCCGGGGGTTGACGGGTTGACTGATATATGGGTCTTCCAGAACGAACAGAATGAGGGAGGGGATATACCCCCTCCAATCCCCTGCAGCAATCAAGGAAGTGCTTTCTGTCCCTCAAAACTGGAAACCCATCGGTGAAGTACAAGGATTGGGAGTCTCTTGGGGAGAATAAACAAGGGATCCTTGTTTGCAATCCCTGTTTGCTACCTACGGACGAGACGTAATTTGGCAGTCGTGAGGGAATCTGGTCTTTGTTGAATATCTTGAGGATTCTCGAGGTATTTGGAGTGCAGGATGTTCTATGTGATTTGCGACTCAGTGTCGTCAAGTACTGCATGGATAGAAGCCCCCGTCCAAGAACTCGTTTTTCTTGGGAAAAAATGTTCTATTTTGGGGGGTCCTCTTCTTTCGCCACCGTGGCTGCCTGCAACGCCGCAAAGCCTTCGGTGGATCCGCCGCGTCACAAAAAGAAGCGCGCCGACCGAGGCAGTCCTGGAGCGCTTGTGACAATGGCTGCGGCTCCGGGGTGCGCGTCCGCCGGGAGCCCGAGGAGGGGTGCGGAAGAAGACGGACGGTTCAGGGATTGGTAGAAGAGAGCCCCAGCAAGGATCACCAACTCCAACAAGAGGCAGAAAACTGACCAACCAACCAACCAACCAACTTGCCAGGCACTTAGGATCAAATTTGCCATCTAATTACTGGAACCCACACTAAACTACCCAGTGGCCCATCTACACCCAGCCACCCAGCCCCCGCCAGTCAAGCAAGAAACGTCCTTATCACCGCCACAGCACCACCACGAGGTCCAGTGCTTTGCTCCTCTGGCCTCGCGGCCGACTGCGCTTCCCTTCCTGTGCCAACGGCCGTGGAGAGCTGCTACGATGTGGCCGCTCGGCAGAGACGAACGACATCGAGGCAGAGTAGGTGCCTCATTCGGTACCGTGCCACGGCGGGTCGATCAGGTGTTCCTCCCACGGGCTCCGCGAACCGGGAGGAAGACTCCGATCACGGGATCCATCGCGGATCGATTTCGACGGAGGGAAGCCGAGTGGCCGTCGGACCAGGTGGGATGTGCCTGGTCCCTGGGAGATTGGAGCTCTTGCAGCACCACCTGCGGCGCGGGCGTTCGGAGCCGCGCGGTGTGCGGGCGCCCGGTGTGGAGGAAATTGGGTTGGACGCTTCCCGGGGGAGTTCGGTGGTTTCTTGGCGAGTTTGGTGGTTTTTGTGGCCACTCAGTAGCCTCGGTCCTAGGTTTTTATCTGAGAACTTCATGGAAGTGTGCCAGGATGGCCAAGATCGTCAAGATCAATTGTGCGAAAGAACCGGCAGGGGTGTTGGCCTGACCATTTGCCCAGTTTCTGCATGTGTCCACTGCATGAGGTCCATAGGCTGCTGAAAACAATGCCTTCGCCTAAAAGAGTGTTTGACCCAGAGCAGTCATCCTGTAGGGAAGTGGTTGGAGTCCAGATCGCATGTGGTGTATCGTTTCTTCACTTTCTTCACCCTTGGTGTCTTTTTTTGAACAGGCAGACTGGAAGGAAGACATACAAGCTGTGGAAGATGTGTAGGGTGTGTGGCACAACAGGTTTCCAGGTAGAAGTCAGCGACCTAGCCACTATCTCCTGATACAAGATGAACATGATATGCGATTCTCCTGACAATATATATATATATATAATAAAATAATCCTCTCTTTTCCTACATACACTGACGACGAGTCGCCTGTGACTAGCTGTCCCCAGGCGTACTCTTTGGCCCTGAGTCCTTTTGGTTAGGAAGGGATGTCACACTAAACCACTATAGTTAAAATATAGCTATATAGATTAGGCTATATGGGTTAAACATGGTTAAACGCTTAGACAGCAGCCAATTTCTGCTTTGTTGAGGACCTGTCCCTCCGGCTGGCCTGCAGACTGTGCCTCCTTCGAGGTGGGCACCCGCCCAACCCGGCGACGCCGCTAGGTCAGATCTGGTCGGTCCTGGGTCCGAAGACGAAGGTCCTTATTCTGGGGTCTCCCTATTGTCATACCCCAACACTATTGTCATACGGACAAATATGCCGACATTGGCCCCTTTGTATGCAAATAGTCCCATGGAGTGTTCGGGTATTTCTTTATCAAACCTATAGATAGTCCAGCACTACTACAGAACATGTGGTTTTTTGGCACCTCTGACCAAAAGACTGAATATGTCTTTTCCCTCCAATCACCAGCGTCTTTCAGCAAAAAGTGCCAGGTTTTGGGGGAGTCATTGGTCGTGCTTTCCTGTTATAGGGCCAAAAATGGTTGATCTTCTTTGAGCCGTCCTCTCTCTGGTCTCTCTGGGCTTGCGTCGAACGCCCTCCACCGAGCCACTCCCGTCCCGCTTCCGGCGGCGCGGTCCCGACGTTGGGGATCTGCTTGAGCTCACTACAAGCAAAGCATAGCAAAGCAAATCCAGTTGACCTTTCTGGCGGAATAGCTTAGATCAATACCGAGATACCTGTGCATGGAATCGACTATAGGTCCCAGATCCCACTCAGCTTCACCCAGCCTCACCCAGCTTCGTGTGGGTGCAGGCACCTTGTTCGTCGCAACGCAGGTGGAACCGGCCTCTTCGGAAAGCTGCCGTGGCAGGGGCTGCGACTGGCGCCCGGTGGCCCAGGGTACGTGGTGGTGAGATGTTGAGATGTGGGTGCGTGGGTGGGTGATGTAGAGATACTGAGATATGGTTTTACTCATGGATGCAGTGGTGGTCCTTTTGGACTATTCTCATCTAGTTTTAACTGAAGTGATGATGTTTTTTTTTTGGTACCTTTTGGTAGCAATTTTGGACTTGTGTTTCTCCATATTTGTGTATTCTCATTTCGCTCTTTAGAGCACCACCATTCGACCCCTTCGACCCGTTCTTTCCTTTTCAAGAATGATGTGATCAGAAGAAAACCAGTGTCAAAACCAATGCAAAGAAAAGGATGAAAGCAATCAAACAGATGAAAAGCGGATTAAAAACCCATCAGTATAGAAAAAGCCAGATTCGAACAGACCAACGAAAGATTCGAACCCAAAAATGAAAAGAAAACCGAGTTCCAGAAGTTCCTACCGTTGAAACCGAGTTCCTGCCGAAGACGCCGGTGGCCAGGGCTCGGTGAATGGTCCGAATGCTCCAACGACTGTGGAGATGGAAGCAAGGCCGGAGGTTGGGTTGGAAAGGTATGGAGTGAAATGATGTGTGAAATGGCAAGATGAAACTGCATTCACTTCTTAGACTCCTAAGGATGTTTTTCAATTTGTTGCTATGGAGAGGTGGTATGGAATGAGAATCATGCAGCTATAGGGATTCTGTCAAGGATTTGCAGTTCAGAGCCATGCTCCTGGCATCTACCCCTCGGACCTCCAACCTCCCCACTCCCCAGGCGCGCACGGTGCGCTGCAGCAGCGGCGAGGACACCGACTGCGTGGAGGCGAAGCCCTCCAACGAAACGCGCCTTGGGCCCAACGAAACACCGACCCCGGGAGGGCCGGCGCAGCGCCACGGGCGGGAGGGGCGGCCATGGAGCGGAGCCACGAAGGGTCCCGCTCGGCTCGGCTCGTGTGGAGGAGGTGTCTGAGGGGAGGGGGTGGGACCGTGGAGGGAGTTCACAGGGGGGGGTCGGCAGCACTGGCGTTGGAAGCACCGTGCACGGCGTTGCTGAGTGGGGATGAGACTAGTCACGAGGGAAGTGGAAGGAGGTTCGTATGCATGATTGGTGTGGATATGTTTCGAGTCAAGTGTTAGTTTGGTACAGCAATCACTTGCAGCCCCATATCTTCCTGTGGTAGGTGGGAGACTTGTTTTGCCCCTGAAGTCGCCGCTGCTTTGCATATCAAGACTTCAACAATGCGACACAACCCAACTCTACCATCAAGTGGTATAGCCGGTCAAGACTGACGACCGAGTTGACACAGCTGTGACCCAAAAAGTCCACCCGTCATATATGCCACAAGTCCAGAAACCACTTGCGGTGAACTCAGCGCCTGTGCAGAATGCTGCATCAAATAGCCCCAGCTGCTGGCTCAACAAGTTTTTTTCAGGACCAACAGATGCACGAATATGTAGGGTGTGGCCCTCTACCAGCAACATTCGGTAAAATATTTATCACTGACTGTCACTATCTTGGAGAAAGGCCTGCCAGCTGCCTTCATCATCTGCTGGGCTCTGGTCGGACATGACCCATTTCTGAATATTCCTCGGGACCCAAGATCGTCACTATCTTTGTCGGACCCAACCTCGTGCGATGAATGCCATTCGCTCGATTCTGGATGGACCGTCATTTTGATTGGACATACGGCTGATTGGAGTCGGAAAAAGTATCGACGGTTTTAGACCATCCCAGAGGCTCCAAACAGCTCTTGGCACTTCAAAACCCTAGGGAATTGAGACCCCAGACCCCTCCATATGAGGGTCCGACCCCTCCATATGAGGGCCCATGAGCGTCTGGGATTAAAATCAAATAAGAACTCGGCTACCCATTGATTCCAGGAGAACTCCACCTCGTCCACCCGTCGATCCCCCGAGGTCCTGCCGGGTCACCAGCGGCTGCGGCTGGACCTTGGGCGAATGGACCGACTGTGACGCCACCTGTGGCGCGGGGCTTCAACGCTGCTCGGCGATGCGCTGCGAAGCGACGCCGCGCTGCGATACGCCCGCCCCGGAGGTGGTGAGGTGGTGAAAGGGAAGAAGGTCGGTGGCAGAAGTTGGAAAGGGCAGTTGAATATACTTGTGGATCTTCCAGCATTGAAGACCAACTGGCCCCAACCATTGATTATCATGTGGGTCTTCCAACAGTCAATCATCCAACAGTCAACATCTCCCAATCTGACTGGGATCATGAAAATATTGCGATGATGTGAGTTCCCTAGCAGAGAGCTGTGAGTGCTATAGTGGGAGATGTTTTTGTGACGGCAACTGGCGCGGGTGCATGTAGGTGGCCGCCCTGGTTTAGAAGTAGTCAACCTCCATGAGCTCGGGGTGAAGTCACCTTTGCTTTCAAACCTCGCCCAAAGAAGGAACCTTCGAAAAGAACATCCTGTTTCCGACCCGGTGAATCCTGTTTCCGAACCGAGTACCCTCCGGTGACTCCATCCCTTTGCGCTGCAAGCGTCCATCCACACCCCGTGGGTGTCGGGTCGAACCTGTAGCGGCTGAGACCGGACGGCGGTCTGCGACTCGGGCAGCGCCGTGGACTGTGTGGAGCAGCCGGTGGCCAGGGGTGCTCAGTGAGTGGACGGTCGGGTGGTCGAAAAGTGTCGGGTGATCTCTGACATGAGTTTTTTTCAAACGTGGCATTTGGACTTAGGGGTGGTTGAAAAGGGGTCCATGTTGATTTGTTATACTCCACCCGTGTCGATAGCTATCAATGTTTGGCACCCAGAAAAAGTGGTGGGGCATGAAAGATCGTGAGATTTGAAAGCCTGCAATTAGTGCGAGTCCAAATTGAAGACGCCGCTGCCGCTGAGGTAAATTGAATGTACAGCATGTAAGTTGGTCACGCCTTTGTTTTGAAGTTTAGCCTTTGCTGGGAACCGCCACTAGGATCCGCTATAGGAACCAGGATCTTTCTGAGGTTGCACGTTCATTTCCCCCAAGGGATTACTTCGGGCGTTTGGAACAATGCATGGGAGAGGGTTGTAAGATTCATGGGGGATAGTCTTCCACTGCATGTTAGGTGCAATTGTATGCCATGTGTCCGATTTTGCTCAGTGGCATGGGAAAGACCTCCAGTTCAGCTCTGTTTTAAAGAAAGAAGTCTTAGTCTTAAATAAGCGAGTAGTAAGCATTGAACACAAGCAAAATCATGCAAAATCTCTGGGTGTGACCCTGAACTCCTTTTTCGGTTTCAAAACCACCCGAGGTACAGAACTCGAAGGAACGAACGTGACGAAACGACCGAACTCGTCACGCGGTGCTGAATGCTGTGCTCCGGCGTCACGATTTCGGCTCCAAGAGTCGCGGTCTTTTCCCGCCCATTGGGAAGGAATATAAAACATGAAAAAAAGAAACCATTGCCTTTTTCAAGTTGTATCGTGTGGTATATCCGTTTACGATGTTGAAATCTGTTTGACAAATTAAATCCTGAAGCAACCACGCAAGTGAAGTCAAGCGAAGTCTCCATGAAGACTCACCAGTGGAACGCCCTGATCGACTGAAGAGCCACGGCGAGATGAGACAAAGACCGGCCGTCCCAACCATCAAACTCGACATGTTTCACCTACATACGCCAAACCAAAGCATCACAAAGCCCAACACCTTGGACCGCAGATGACTGCTTAGCCTGCAGAACGCGCGAACGGCTCGTGCTTGACCAGAACAAAGGCATAAAAATAAATCCAAAGAAGACGTGTAGTCAGTTGTAACTCAATCTTTCATGGATCCCTAGCCTATGGACCTGCCAATCCAGCAATGGCAGAGCTTGTCAAGGCGCGGTCGGTCTTCCTCGGCACGCTTTCGCCGTACCGCGGGGCGGGCCAGGTGGAACCCGGGCAGCGCGTTGCGGGCTCTGATCCAGTGGGAACGAGATCTCGGCATCCAGATGTCGAGGTCAATGGTTTTTCTTCATCTCCCACCAGTTTTGTGGTCTACCTGGACCCTCCTGTCGGGGTGTCCTGGCTGGACTCCTCCACACTACCTATAGGCTTCCAGACAGGGCACCCCTTAGAGGGTCCAGGTATGTTCCTTCTTATTCCTTCCTCCCCAGACGCTCCAAACAACCCTTGGTCCTTCAAAACCCAAGGGATTTGAGACCCCAGACCCCTGACCCGAGGATTCGGGTCCGACCCCGGCCCATGAGCGTTTGGGTCCTTCTTCAAGTCCCCCGTTGCGTGGTCTCCCTTGGCCTCCACATCTCGGGAGACCCGACGACTGAAGCCGATCGACAGGACCAGGAGATGGACGCGACCATCAGCCTGCAGGTCGGTCGGAACTGGTCCGGTCGAAAGGGAAAGAAGGCCGCAGGTGTGAGGGATGGTCGCATGGATGTGAGGGATGGAAAGTGTCAAGAAAAGCATATGCCCTGTGCTTTTCTGGAGGAGTTCAGTTTGAATGGATCAGACCAAGGACAGGTGGTTTGGGAGGCTCATGTTGGCTCATGTTCTTTGAAGCTTCCGCTGCTCCTCTCGGAGGTGTTGGGGATCGACGGGGAGGGGCTCAGCCTCACCGTGCCGCGGCAGATGCTCGGGCGGGACCTGAGCCGCTTGGAGTGGAAGAGAGTGGAGCTGGCGGCGGGGGGGAGTGGATGGTGTGGATACCCAGGAAGGACGTGGATCTGAAGTTTCACTCTGACGAACACATCACATGGAAGTGGAAACCGCCATTTGTAAAGGAAAGTCGTCTTCCAAGGGACCATGCCATCCACTTCCATGTTAGTGAGTCAGAGTGTAGACCCTTTGAGGGGAATTGGGGAGGGAAGGGACACCCCCTCAAATCAAAGAGGTGGACAGTTCGGTTTCACCGTTCTTTTTCCCAGATCGATCGAAACAACTCGGGGGGTTCTGCGACTGAAAAAAAGAGAGCGACGTGAAGGGAGGTGCGGAAACTGGCACCCCCGGATCTCCGAATGACTTCGATCTGACCCTCGAAGGCGGCGGTCTGCTTTGTCGGGCTGGTGGAGAGCACCGCTCTACCTAGAACCTGAATGACCTCTATTTTGGAGCACCAACCACCCAAAAATATGGCCAAACTTCCTATCAAAACAAAGGTCATGTCTGGGTTCCAGGTCATGTCGTCCCGCGACCTCTTGTGGTTCCACCGGCGCGTTCCACTCCACGGGTGTTCTGGCGCCGGAATTCCCGGTCGCCGAGGGCGGAAGATCAGCGCCGAGTTGCCCGCCAAGCCTGCGGCCACTCTCTCCCTGCTGCAGCCCGGGCGGGTTCGAGACCACGTCAGTTCGAATTCCGGTCGGTCGTGGACGCCGCCCGGGTCGGGAACGGAACGGAACGGAACTCGATGAACGGTCCGGTTTTTCGAGGCACTCAAGGCCATGAAACGAAACTTTGGATAGTGTGTTCATGTTTATGTGCGTTCTTGTGCGTTTAGTCGGTGCTTTTCAGGAGATGAGCCCTCTCTAATCTTTCTAGTTTGTATTGAAGAGTTCTTCGCGTCATCCACTGAAATGGTCTCAGGCAACCCACGGTACCCAAAAAACAGCGTCGCCTGAAGCGCCAAAGCAGCTTTGTCAGTGGTGGCCCTACTAGGAACAAGCAGCTATGATCGGGGCTCCTGGCATCCCTAACTAGGAGCGATCGGATGCACGGAGAAGTCCGGTCGACCGTCCGTCCCCTCTGAGTCTCCGCAGCGAGCGCAAGCAAGGTATGGAGAGTCCAAGTTGTCCCTCACAGAGACTCTGGCAGAGCAAGGTCTCGGCCCTGAAGCCTCCCTGAGCCACCCGACTTGCAAGGTCTGGACGCCCTCCTGTGGACCGTGCTGAAAGCCGTTGTTTTGGGCTGCGGGTAACGCGCGGGGACCGTATATGAGGTCATCAGCATCATCAGCAGCAGCAGCAGCGAAATTCCTCCTAATTTGTTGCTCGAAGAAGAAAGACGTGAAAGACATGTTCCATGATGTCGTTTACCGTGTTTTCACACTAGCTTCACAGGAGGTTGGCTCACCACAGTACTGTTGGGGGAGGGCTGTTGCTGAAGCCCTGGAAGGGCGTCGCCTGACCCACCTCCAGCTGGTAGCGGCTGGTCGTGAGAAAGGCATCGATCACTCAGCCACATTCATACATGGCCAGGGAATGCAGAGGTTGTTGTACACACCAAAAAGGCAGCGCAGGCAATATGCACACACAATGGCGCACACACGTCCGACGACGGGCGATTCTTCCTACGGACCACGGACCGTCGAGAGACCCGCCGCGGCGACGCGGCGGGCGTCGTTTGAGGCTACATCTTCGTGCCCGCCAATGTGCCCGGCTGCCCATTTGGGCTCTGCATCGATTTGGGGTCCATCGTTGGGACGTCGATTTCGAAGCATCAATCCATCAAGAACGAGTTCTAGTTCTGATGTCTAAGACTCAGAAGCAGTCCAAGAAACTTTAGGATTTGTTTGATCCCTCTCAAGCTATTCAATCTATATTATATGGACTTCAATTGACTTGATTGGAATCGCTCCAGAGTTTGGAATCTTCTTGGGTGTAGAATCATATGTGTTCTGCTTTGAGACTAGGGACGACCCCATGGTGGCTGTGCACCCGAAAAGGAATGAAATTGCCTAATCTGGAACTCCCACAAAGGACCCCACCTACATATAATCCTTTGCTGTGCTGCTCCCACCTGGTTTTAATGCAGTTCTGTACATCTTCTTCGTCTCCTGCGTTTGTCCCACCGTGGTGCCTTCAACCGCAGTCGCCCAGGCTGGACGCGTGGAAAGTCTTGAAAGGCATCCCCGTCGCAGCTCGGAGTTGTCTGCTTCCACCGGCAACAGCGGAGGAACGGGCCGAACCGCGGGCGGAGGAACGGAGGGTTCGGCGAAGAAGTGCGCCACTTAGGCGGTTCAATGAATCAAGCCTCCATACCAGCACCGAACGCAAGTTCCGGTGATTTTTGGACACCCCAAACTCACCGCTATAGACTATAAATTAGACACCCTCAGACAGGAAGGAGGTTTGATCATCCATGTTTGGGGAAGGTTGATGCTGGACAGGCCACGTGGACAGGCCACTGCTTCACAGCTTCATGAGATCACCAAAGCCCCATCGTGGGGCAGGTCAGTGCTTTAAAAAACCGCGCGGAGCAAATTGCCAAGCGGAAAACCAGACAGAAAAGACCAAGAGGTGTTGGTCGTTTGATCGATCTTTTTGCTCGCCGGTTGTGCTCTCTCAGAACCTTCCAAACTAAGAAAAGAAAAAGACTTCCCCTCATCCACTCGCTGTTTCTTTTTCGTCGGCGTTCTTGATTTCGAGCGCCCGCGCCATCCCACGATGGTTCTTTGGGACACTGAGGAAGACAAAGACTTCGCGCTGGAAGGCGTGACCCATTTGAAGAGATCCTTGGGCGAAGACTGGGGCGGAGGGGTGATGACGACTTCCCCGGCAAACGCGACGCCACGCGTCCTCTCAAGCGGCGGGGGAACAGTGGATTTTCGCTTCCTTTCCGGTGCGCAGTTCCTGTGTCTAACTAGTAGTAACAAGTGCATCGCTAGTAGTAACAGGTGCCTTACTAGTAGTAACAAGAAGCCAATAGAAACAATAAGCTAATAGCTTCTTGTTACTAGTAGTAAGGCACTTGTTACTAGAAGCGATGCACTTGTTCCTAGTAGCTTATTGTTTCACGGTGTGCGGTTCCGATATCGGAGGGGGCCTTGGAAACCAGTTGGGCGACGTCGAAAAAGGCAACTCTTGGGCCGTGTCGACGACCGCGATTCCAACGTCAGCTGCCAGCACGTGCCAGAAACACGTGGGGCTTCAGGTACGTACGGCTGCAACTGTAGCGATGCCTTATTCTTGTCCTCCCCTGCCCTGCAGGCTCCACCGATGACCCACTGGTCTCGGCCCTTGTTACTCTGTTACTCGTTCGTCTTGTTCCTAACCAATAGTAATGCCCTTGTTACTAGTAGCTTCTTGCTACTACTGGTAATACCCTTGTTACTCATAGCGATGCCCTTGTTACTATATATAGATATGTTTTTCTAAAGGATCCACCGGATGATTCACCGTGTGTCTGCCACGCAACCAAGACCTCACGGAGAAAAGGTCCCTCCATACTTTTCGTGGTGAATACATGGCAAGGTCGCAACGGAGGCATTCGCATAATGATCGTGTCACTGGTGCTTATTGCCTCCGAGTGGATTTGAGAGGGGCCATCACCCTCAATGACTTGCAACAGGGTATATACCCAGCATTACCCAGCCCATTCATTGGGACTCAACTGGGGACATCATGTGTCATCAACTGGGAACGATCGACTAAAAAGCGAGATGAGGGAGATGGCATGGTTGGCTTCCTTCTCTTAGGTCCGGAGTCTGGACGCAAAACACACCTGCCATGTCTTGGTCCGATGTCGCAAGCCTCTCGAGGGTTCGAAAGAAATGGGGTGAGAACCACCTGCCATGGATGGGTTCTCACCTGCTGATTTGTCCCAAGCTATGACATCTTCGTGGTCTTTGCGGAAAATGATGAGACCCACCCTGCCATGGAATCGACATGTTTGCTATGGTGAGAACCTGATCAATCTCCAAAAGTGTCACTTGTTGCGGGAGCTGTTTAGTGTTCGTGACGTTTTTTCTTCACTTCGGATCGTTCCTTTGATTTATGACATCACAGGCATCACCCGATGAACAAATCATCACCCGATCTTCAGGTCATTCACTCCGTCCAACCTGATCGGAGATCCTCGGCCACCCGTAACGGCCGTCAGTTTCATGGCACAGCCTTTGCTGTTTTCGTTTCACTTTCGTTTCACCTCGACCCCACAAAAAGCCTCACGCCAATGGCCCAGGAATTACGAAGCTGGATCCTGGGCCGCAGAAGAGGCCGTCTTGTTCCGCCGCGAGGGTCGGGCCCTTTCATCCTTCGATTGGAACCGGCACGACATGCCGTGTGTCTTGCAGTACAAACTGTGGAAATGCATTAAGTTGACGGTGCTCCGGCGTACTCTTTGACCCTTGGTCCTTCTGGTTTGGAAGGTATTTATATTATGCATTTATGACTAAGATCAGGATCTGGCATTTTGTGGTAGCAAGGGCATCGCTACTAGTAGCTTCTTGCTACTAGTTGTAATGTTACTAGTAGCGATGCACTTGTTACTGGTAGTGAGGATTTCCAAAAAGTCCTACTTCCGGATCAAAAGATTGAAAGACATCACTTCCATCATGCTTAAAAGATCCTAAATTGAGACCAAAAAGGCCGATTGAAAATTACAACCCTATATCTATGTTGTGGTCAACAGCCTTCCCCCATGATGTTTGCTGCTGAATGTGAGACTTCCTCAGCTTAGCCAGCAGCTGCTCCAAGCAGCTTCGACGTCTCTCAGGAACAGCTCAGACACTTGCCGCGGAGCCTACAGAGCTTGACCTTCTGCAACCACTTTGATGAAGACTTGACCGAGGCGGTTCGACGGTGGCAGGACCAGGGTTTTGAAGGTGGCTGAAAGAAGATGGAAATCCCCCAAGACCCTGTTTAGCAGCAAAGACGCCTACATATAGCACTCAAGTTGGGGAATTGAGCCCTTTTCGACTCTTGAGGAGCTGGAATAAAAGGACGCACTTTGGGGAAGTTGCAGGGAGAAAATGGGAAGTTTCATTGCCCACCAGGTGCTGCTGCCCAGCGGCCTGCGAAACTTAACCTTCGGCGAATGTCCCTGGGCGGAGCTGAAGTCGGCTTTGGCACATGAGCCGTCTGGCGAACGGCCAACCAGAGTGAATCTACCAGAGTGAAACGAGCTCCGGGTTTTGACCCACAGGTCATATACTGTATGGGGTATCCTTGGAAAAAAGGTCGCTTGGATGGTTCCACATTGAGTTCCGCTTCACACTACGAAGCTCGACTAGACCTGTCGGTGTCTTCTGTCCAAGCCATGATTCCCATCGAAACCCGGGCCTTGATGGTGAATGCGATCCAAAGCTGCTTGGGGAGTCTCAGTCCTATGGATCAGTGGCTGCTTAGGCATGGATGTCCATAGAGCAGCCCACGAGCAGGTGGGTCAGGATGAAGTTGTGTCCACTTCCAAGAGTTTTGTGACACTACATGAACTGGAGGAAGTCCATGAACTGGACGATGTTTGGGGGACCGAAGTAAAGGAAAGTCATGCCATCCGGTCACCTAAAGACAGTGTCTTGGACCTCCAGGGAAGATGTTTGGGCAGACTTGGAAGACATGACCCAAAAAGGAGGTCCCCTAGACATGTGACATCAAAGTCTGTGGGACCAACCGAAGTCGTTGAAAACCAGAACATGGAATTTCCGTTGTCTCCTCCCTCATGCTTCACTGTAGCAGATTAAATCTACACACGAGAGACAGCTTTGACAGACCGTCACTGATCCATCTGCTTAATCCATCCGAGGTCATGCATCTGACCGGTTCTCCGAAGCAGTGCCGAAACAAGCAAAGCCCTCCAACCTACGAGCCAAGCGCTCTCCACCCGCCGCGATGTCGCTGTGTGTGTCTTGCGTTGGGAAACTGAGGCTTCAATCAGCCCTTGGATCAGGTCGTTCTGCCCAGCAGCTTGCGACTTGGCTTTTCTTCGTCGACCTCGTGAACACTCCCAATGGTCGGAGCGACTCATGGGACTCGACTCGAAGCACCATTGATTCAATAGCAACCGGTGGACCCAGGAACCCTTGTTCTACGATTTGTACACTACAAAAACAGGTCCACCGGTTTTTTTTGTCATTCTTGAAGGCTAGGGATCATCTAAGAGCTTTTCAGTGACTGAAAATTAGAGCAACACGACTCACGAGAAACTTGTGTTTGCTTTCCTCGAGAACTTCTTCTGCCAAAGCATGCGCATCATGAAACTCAATGCAAGGATTCTCCATGGGGTCTCCATTGTGGAAAGGATCACGTGCCGAATGATCACCTTCCCAATCATTGGAAGAGGATGAGATTCCAGTCCGCTTCCCCACAATGAGCAACTCTGGAGCCAAAGAAGATCTCAATTCCATGTCTTCTTGGTGTTCGCCTTTCAAAAAGTGATCACCAACAAGGTGGAATAACTCTACATGCCTAAAACATATTGAATTTGCTTTGCTTTCAAACAGTTGGCTCTTCCTTTTGCTATCCGGTAGTTCTTTCAACCTACTGTATACTGACCCGACCTTCTCCAGCTAGCATTTTGGAAAACTGTGCCACAGAACACGTGTTCTCAAAAAGCAGCGTGGCAGCAAGCTGCAACTGGTTCCTCAAAGATATACTGAGGATGTTGCTTTTGCCGAAGGGCTAAAGATCCAGTGTGGCTCACAGTTGGCACAGTTCTTTGAACTTTCAACTAGCTGGATCTGGTGCAGTGAATTGTTATAGATGTTTTTCAGCAATGATACAGGAGTTCATTGGACACTCTTTCGGACACCACGGGTGTGTGTGTTTCTGTGGCGTCGAACAGTTCTCCACAGTATCAGCTTGTGCGTCTTCGCAGATTGACGGAGGTTGCGCTGGGTTGACGGAGGACTTGGTTCGTTACCGACCAGCAGTTCAGCTGAACAGCTCTGTCAACATCCTCTCTGAATAAGTATGTTCGTGTCCCCGATGGAGTAACTCTGCATTGTTCAGTGATTAGGCAGGATCTGAACAGTCCGTGGCGTTCTAGAGTTCGAAGCCTTTCAGATACCAGACCCAGAAGGCGGTTCAGACACAAAATGACACAAAGATCCTATATAGTGTTAGGAAGTTCTACCTCAAAATGTCATTGAATCGAGATCAAACTGCCCTGGCAAAGACGAAAGCACTGGAAGTTCGTGAAAAAAGTGCTGCCCAACTCCCAGTTGGGTAGATGCCCTGGCAACGCGTTGAGCCCTTTTGCTCCAGCTCATAGGAGTCGCCTTCATCGGAGGGCGGGCGGGCCGAACTCTGGTGAAACTGCTCGAAATCGATGATCGCGTTCCCAACCGCCCTCCTTTCAGCAGCACAGAGCCTTCCCCTTTTGTCGGGTTGGCTCGTTGGGACGCCGCACCGCCCGGTCTGTTTCTCGCGGCGAAGCCACCGGACGGGACCGGCGTGACGACGACCGCGTGGGGAGGTCCAGGGCGGTCCAGGTCCGTCGACCGAGGCAAAGCTTGACGCTGGGCTTCGACTTCGGCCAGCCCTTCGATGAGGCGAGGAGAAACCGCCCGAACCCGCGCGGCTTTTTGCGGTGCGATCGAAGCGAAGCAGGTGCCCGGTTGGATGCAGCCGGCGTTTTGAAGGGGCTGGAAGGACGGGGGTGTTTGGAGATTGAGCAAGTTGAGACGGAAGGGAAATCTGAAGTCTTGGATATGTTTTTTATGTCTCTATTGGTGATGGACCTGGAGGATTCCAATAGTTTCCAGTCATTTTTCGAGATGCACGACTCGGCCACAGGTCTGCCAGTCTTTGTTGGTTCACGTTTCTTTGGGCTGGACACCACATGTCTCTCTGAAAACATCGTTCAACCATCAACTGGACATGCAAACATGCAACTCGAACTGCTTGGTTGAAACGCAGGGAAGGTACAAGAACTCATCACAAGCCTCAGCTTGCTATTTCTTTAAGTTTCAAAAAAAAGAACAGAAGTCATAATAATATCAATTCCAGATCTTGCTCTTTGCCGGAACAAAGCCACGGAAGAATAATGTGTATATATAAATATATATATATGTGTATACTGTATACCATCATTGAAGAATCGTCATAAAACCAACGGTTAAGCCTCCAGACCGACAGCGCAGAACCTGGGTGTTTTTCTTCGAGAACAATGCCAGGTGACGCTGCCTGAGAGCCTCGAGACTCTGGTTTTCGGTTTCGAGCCTCGGTGCCGAAAACGAACAGTCGTTGGCCTTCAGGATCACTGGATTCCTGGACTCGGTACTTCCCCATACTTGGCGCATACCCACAAAAACGGCCGCCTCGTTTCTCCTGACTGCCCTGAGCCTGAGGTTGCCTGCATCCATACGAACCTGCCAAAGCTGGTGGTACGGTTGGTGACACTGCTTTCAACCTATATCTATCTCACCCCCAAATCAACCCCCAACTCCGTCGTTTTTCTGCCCGTCTTCGATTGAACGAGTCGGTGATGGTTGGGCTTCGAACGGTCCGATTGCAGGAGCGACCGACTTCGCGTCCCGTCGATCTGCTTAGCCTTCGGCTCGGGCCGGGGTAGACGAAGCCTCCAGGGGGCAGAAGGTCTCCGAACGGTTTGGGGCGAGCGGGTTGAAACGGGAGGAGAATCCATCTTTGAAACATCAAGAACTGAAGTAACTGAAGAGGTGCTTCCTTTCTATTTCTCGAGGGTGGACTCCTGTTGCGCAAGACCAAACAAAAGCAGCTCATGTTGAAGCTTGTTTGTTGACCCCCATGGAGTCCAAGCCAAAAAGTCGCCGGGACCTTTGTTCCTTCCAGCAGCTCATTCACCCTTTCACTTTAGTTGAGACATCTCCTCCGTGCCGGCACCCCAGGAATTCAACAACGATTTGTCGCTTGGCCTCGACCAATCTCCTGTGGACGCCGCGACGCCGCGAAGAGAACCCCGATCCTGGCCTCGTTCGTAGTATCCTAGTAGTACGGCCAGGAGCCCCGTTCAAAGTGTCCTTGCTCCGTTCGTAGTGATGCCGTTTGCTCCTATAGTAGCTGCTTGCTTGTACCTCCTACCCCGTATGTGCGGAGCAAACTGAATAGGTCAATCAAGTAGAGTTGAACCGTTGAACCTCCGTGATCATCTGTGCACTCGAAGCGACGTTCGATGTCTTTGGGGGACGGGGGGGTTTTCGTTCGATTTCGACGTCGCCTTCAGCGAGCGTCGACTAAAGGGTCCGTATTGCACAAGCCCATCACCTGGTTTTGCTGATCAGGCGGATTTTTTCCTAAGGTTAAATGCCCTTCTGGCGAAGATGTCTGGACTTTTTTTCCGCAAATCCAAGGATACTCCATGGTTTGGACGGACTCTGGACGGCCCAAAAAGGCCATGGGTCATGGGTTTGTCCGATGGTGAATACCATAGTAGAGAGGATATTGTTCACTATATTCTTGAATCCCTGCACGTCTGCCTCAGATCGTAAGCGTCTTGGGAAGGGGCGCACTTCGACCGAAAACGGCCCAACTGGGATTCTTGGGCCTTCTCAGAAAGGGAAACCTGAAAAACCATTGAAGAAAAAGGACAAGAACCCCAAACGGTCCCCAGCGGTTCACCGGGCGGGAACCCGGTGGGGAACCCGCTTCGTTCCACCCTGGACATCGGTGTCCGGTGCTTCGCCGGTGCTTCGGCGGACCGGAGGATGCTTCCGGTGTTCAGGCGATCGGTGGCGTTCCCCCCACGACTGGGCAGCCTCACGTTCGGCTACAACTTCTCTCAGAGCCTCCAGGAGGCGCTGGTCGTCCACGGGTCGCCTCGCGCGGTGGCAGTTGGACGTGCGGGTTCGTTTCGCACCTGGGTCGAAGCGGGTTTTGGGGGAGGACCGCGGGGCTGGGGGTTCTGAGGGTTTCGCTGGAAAGAAAGCATCAATATGCCTTTGGGATCTGCTCGATCCGCGGGGGTCTGTGGGGTAGGAGGCCTGGTGGGTTGAAGTGTGAACAACTCAGCTAAACATATGTGTTTCGCTTCCGGTCAGTGAAGGACATGTGCGACTTCCGTTGAACCTTCTGGTTCAAGGGCACCCTTCAGCCATTGGCCTTTGCAGGCCACCGGTTCGGCTACTGTGCGCACTTGCCGCCATAGCTGTGGCACTTGAGGCCTTGACTGGCCGTGAAGAGCAGACGCCCGTGGACGGGCCCTGGTGTGCGGAAAAGAACCGCTACCTGTGCGAGTGGCCTTTGCTTTGGTTGGAAACCCCTTTCACCTTCAAAGGTCACACGGCTACCGACATTGGTAGCGGAGCTCTGGCGATTGCCATCTCCTGGGACCTTGGAAAGTCACTACTTCATTGAGCCCCTCCTCGTGAACTTCCCTGGCGGCGGCGGCTGGGCACCTCCCTTGGACCTCGAGCTCTACTCGCGGCGCTGGGCTACATCCTCGACTCCTTGACGGAGATCCTCGATGGCAACCATCTCGGCCAAAGAGGTGGTGGTCACCTGGGACGGAGATCCCACCACCTGGGGCGACTACGCCCGAAAGGTCCGCTTGCAATGGGAGAAGACACCGGACCGAAAGAAGAAATACCTGGCGCCTGACTTAGCGTCCAGGTTGACTGGCCGTGCATGGTCGGTCACCCCTGACCTGGAACACTCCAAGCTGAGCAAGAAGAACGGCACCAAGTATCTCCTGAAGTTCTTGCAAAGCCGGCTATGCCGGACAGCGGTCCCTGACGCTGGAGCTCGCTTGGAGGACCTGTTGATCAGGTTGAGAAGACCATTGGGAATGCCGATGAGCCAATGGTCATCCTATGTCCTGGAGGCCTACCGTAAGGTGCAAAGGGCATTGGTCAGGGCTCGACAGCAGAAGAAAACTCCTGTGACAACACTGGGAACTCCTGTGACTGGGAGCGCCATGTCAGAACCTCAGGCTGAACCACCGAGCCGACCACCTACTTCGCCCTCATCGCCTACGACCAGAGCAGCAGCAGCAGTCTCTCAGGCATCACCCTCATCGCCTACCGGACGAGCACCAGATCACCGATCTCAAGATGAAACCGGAGATGATGGTGCCGAGCAAACTTCACCTGAGGATCCTCCTGACGATCATTGGCACCAAGATGATGGCTGGACAGCTGAAGAATGGCGACAATGGCGACGGGAACGACGCCATTGGGAGGACTCTGACAATGACACCTCCTCACCTGGAGAAGATCTTCCTTGGGATGAACTGGAAGTTGAGGACATCCAAGTCCTACCTGATGAAGTCCTTGGCTGGCTACTGCTACGACGAGCTAACTTGAGTGCAGCCAGCAGGTTGTCTGTCCAGGCCAGTGTCCAGAACAGCCTCACCTTCCGTGACATCGAGACGGCGCTTCGAGATCAAGAAGAAGAACTCCTACAGGCAGATTCTACAAGACATCCATCGAAGCGACGCACCTACTGGGTAGAAGAGGCTGGTTCCTGGGGTCTTCTGGTGAACCAGGACGAGACCACGATGGATGAACTGACTGCCGAAGTGCATTGGGTTGGTCATCAACTACCTCCTGAAGTATATGATCCTGGACCCATGGAGAACTCTATGGAGGAAGATCCTGAGATCTACTGGACTCGTGAAGGTGATGGTTGGCATGGCTACACCATGGACTGGTCCGGCGAGTGGTATGAAACAGATGGCCATGGAGCCTTCTGGGCCTGCGATGATGGCTACTTCGACGACTTGACCGCCGAGGAGAACAAAGAGCTTGAGGAGGCCTACTCAGTCTATGAGAACAAGGCCAAGACCTTCTTGCAGAGCAGGCAGTTCCAACGAGCAAAAGGGAAGAGCAGAGGCTTCTATCCACCTCACCTGCTCAAGGGCAAGAAGGGCAAAGGAAAATCCAAAGGCAAGAAAGGTAAAGGGCGCTCACCTATGTCCTCTTCTTCACCAAGCAGTTCCTTGCCTGCCACCTTCATGGCCAATGAGACAGTGCTGTCAGCTGAGGCAACTTCGACCGGATGCTTCATCTGCGGGGACAAGTCACATGGTTTCCGCAATTGCCCGAAGCGCAGCACCAGCAGCTCACCTACGACTGGAAAAGGTTTTCGCAAAGGAACCTTTTGGGTGGAGGCCATGACCCCAAGCCCGCTGGACCTCGACTTCATTGGCATGGCCACGAATGAAGTGATCACTGGTGACACATCGGGCTATGGCGTCCTGGACCTGGGAGCCACTGAGACGGTTGGATCCCTTGAGGCCCTGGAGAAGTTGATGTGGCAGCGACATCAAGCTCAAGGATGGGAAGAAGGCATCAAAGTCTTCACCGGCCCGAATGCTGTCAAACCTTTCCGCTTTGGAAATGGTGGCATCAAGTACAGCGAATCCTTTGTGCTGGTACCTCAGAAGCTCGGTGAGAACAGCGTGATGCTTGGCATGTTCACCCTCGACGCCGAGAAGGTGCCGATCCTAATTGGCATGCGCACTTTGGATCGCCTTGGCGCGGTGATCGATGTGAGCGGCCGGTGGATGGTTTTGTCCAATGTGGCACCTGACCTCAAGATCCCACTTGGAAAGAGCAAGGCGGGACATCTTCTTGTTGACCTTCGCACTGACTGGCTCACCATGGGCCAGCCTTTGGAGCAACATGCACCACGACCTCGTGCGGCATATAAGGTGAGCAGTCCTCTGTGCGCAGTCTTTCCCATGGACCATGAAGATGTCACTCCTCAGGCCTCCCACGACATGTTGGACCACCTGCACCCAGAGCTTTGCATGAGTTTTGAGTCTCCACACACCCTTGAACAAGCTCTTGTGGTTGAGAAGTGCAGTGAGGCAGAAGGTCTTGAGTCAGGTGAAGATCTTGAAGCTGCTTACATGCTTGATCATCATGATCACCTCCGACGCCCTTTGGCACAAGCTGATCAAGGGATGCGGGATGACATCCTGACCGCCCTCGTGAACGACGCCTCACGAGCCCATGGCGCCCAAGGCGAAGGAGAAGAAGAAGCCTGTGGCACCAGCTTCCGAGCGGTTCGACTACAGCCGCACACAGGGGATCAACAAGGACGATCCCCGGGCCACGGGACCTCCATGCCATGGAGAACACACTCCTGCGATGCCAGGACGCGGCTCGAACACAGGCAGCAACGCCCATGCAACATGGGTGGGATGCTCGGAGTGTGGGATTCGCCTGAGCTACACGCCGGCCTTCGGCGCACACGGCCTGACTCGACAAGCAGGACCACTTGTGGCCGATACGACGACCCAGTTGGTGGAGAAGAAGCCGGACAAGGGCAGCATCGAGTTGAAGGACAAGAAGATAGGCTTGGATGCGGCCGAAAGATCCCTGGAGAAACGTATGGAGACCATCCGCAAGCAGAAGGAGCAATGGTTGTCAACCCAGCAGCGCAAGGACAAGTTCGCGGCCGAGACAACCAAGGTCTCCCCAGGGAAATCTTCGCAGGGCCAAAGCCCGGAACGCCCTATGACGCCTTCACCACCTACGGCAGGGTATGCTCAGGACCACACAATGGCCCTCACCGGCAGCAAGAAGAGTGCGAGGCTACCGGAGAAGTCCGCGGAGGAGTACGAGATCGCCACTCAGCCGGAGAACGAAGAGGAGGAGGAATGGAGTCGAGTGACACCGGTGAGCCCCAGTTCCACGTGAAGAAGATCGTCCACGCAGCTCCCGGACTCCAAGGATCTCATGTTTCACCAGCCGGAGGAACTACCTCTTTGAAGAGTTCCCCACCAAGTTTTGCATGCACTATGAACAGTTTTTCATCATCTACCGCACCAACAGAGCCTGCCATGAAGGACCCCAACCTGCCGAAGATCAAGTCCAAGGAGACGATGGACGAGTACTACCTGGGGATTCCAATGGGCAACAGTTTCACCAACTCTGGCATTTTGCCAACTCCAGGCATTTTGCCTGATGCTTCAGCCTGCAGCAAGAAGCGGAAGAAGAAAGGTCAGCAGCCCCAATCATCTGACAGTGACGACACCGGCCAAGGCCGAAGGCTGACCGAAGACGACACCGCCTTCCTGCTCTCCCTGGCTGAAGAGTATGAACAAGGATGTGAGGACATCATGATGAGCCTGATGGCGGATCAGGTCAAGAAGCCTCCAAAGATCATGGAACTTTGCTGTGAAGAGGACAGTGGACTCACCACCGCATTGGAAGCTCAAGGAGGCCTTGGAATTCGTTGCGGTCTCTTCAACGACTGCGACCTCAACAAGAAGTCTGGCTTCAACAAGGTGATCCAGCTCCTGAAGACCTATAAACCCGACGTGCTATGGGTATCGCTACCTTGTGGGCCAACTTCTGGCATCCAAGAGCTCAACAAGCTGACCGAAGAAGGTCGAGCCAAAGTGGAAAAGAAAGTTCAACGCTCAAAGCGCCTGGCAAGCAGAGCAGTGATCATCATGGAGCTCCAGATCCAGCAAGGCGGCGAAGTCTTTCAAGAATGGCCCAAGTACAACAAGGCTTGGGAGTTTCAGTGCATCCAGAACTTCTGGCACCAACACGGAGGTTTCGAGGCTGTCTTTGATGGTTGTGCCTACGGACTCCGTGCTCCAGAAGGTGGTTTGATGAAGAAGCCCTGGAAAGTGAAGAGCACTTCACAACTGGTGTGGCAGCTTCAGAGGCTATGTCAATGCCAAGAACCTCACGTTCCCTGTGAAGGAGGAACTCGCACACGGCTATCAGCTTTCTATCCCAAGCAGCTGTGCGACAAGATGGCACGCTTGGTGAAGTTCATCCACGAGCACTCTGAGGACCAGATCATGGCTGTTGAGAAGACGCCTGACTATGACCCGGAGTCTGTCCTCAAGAGCACGGACCAAGAGCTGATGCGAGTGGCGACTGACTTGCTGAACCTCCACAAGAAGCTTGGCCACCCAGGACGACAAGTCTTCATCAAGATGCTACGCGACCGTGGCGCTTCCACCATGGTCAAGACGATAGCGGCCAATCTGCACTGCATGGATTGTGAAGAGTCTGCCATTCCACCGGCCCGACGTGCAGTGACCCTGGAGCAAGCCACTGAGCTCTGGGAAGTGATCCAGCTGGACAACATGGAGTTCACCGTGGGCGACAAGACCTTCCACTTCCAGGTGATTGTGGACGAAGCTTCCACCTACGGGGCAGCGAACTTCCTCTTCAAGCACCCCGTCTCTGCCAGCAGGAATCCAACCACACCAGAGATGCTTCAAGCCCTTCACCAAGGATGGATCCAGTACTTTGGCTACCCCAAGTGCATAAAGCTGGATAAAGAAGGTGCTCATAGAGGTCGACAACTGGAAGAATGGGCCGAAGGCCATGGCATTGAGATTGAAGCCATTCCTGCCGAGCACCATGGATCCATCGGCCAAGTTGAGAGATTGATTGGCACCCTGAAGCAAAAGCTCATGGCCCATCTGAGGTCAACCGAGGCTCCACCAGAGATTGCCACATGGGCAATGATTGCGGCTCACAACACCATGAGCAACGTCGGCGGCTACACGCCAATGCAGTGGGTCTTCGGAAGAAATCCCACTGAAGCAGATCGCCTACATGATGGACCAGATCTTCCCTACTGGTCTGGGATGAGCACCGAGGAGAAGATGAAAGACAGGCTGGAACAACGGCTGCAGGCAGAGAACCTCCATCGCAAGTTGACGCTGCAGCACAAGATCAACCAAGCGGCTAACACCCGCATGCAGCCACCGGTGCGCTACCATCCCGGCGACTTGGTCTACTACAAGAGGTACCAACCACCAGCTGACAAGCGGGAGAGATCTCATCATCTCCTGGACATCCCCCGCAGACGTGTTGCACGCTGGTATGGACCTGCTCGCATCCTGGCTCTCGAAACCAAGACCAGCTATGAGGGACAAGTTCGACAACCTCATCTGGTGGCTTGGATCATCGCAAGTGGAAGATTGAAGCGGGTGCATGCGAGCCAGTTGCGCTTTGCTTCGGAGAGAGAAAGAGTGATCGCAGAGAGTCACACTCCGTTGGCAACGCCCTGGACCTTCAACGACCTCACCGACATCATTGCTAAGGGCGAGTTCGATGATGACACCATGACCCAGCGACAACAGATGAGTGCAGCCCTACGACAACGAACGGGCAATCTGAACCCTGACGAGCTTGCATCGAGGAAGAGACCGGCTTCGCAAGAGAGGCCAAGAGAGGAAGAAGATGCTGAGATCCTCGAGCCATCACCAACGGGGCACTCAGAGCCATCACCAACGGGGCATCATGAACCAGGACGAGGCTCCGACGAACCCTTCTTGGCACCTGAAGCACCACCAGATCCTCGCCATGAGATCCAAGAAGATCTTGATGCACAGAGGCTGATGGCGGACCAGCACCACTTTCCTATGGGCTCTGGAGAACAAGGACCACTCTTTCAACACGCACCTTTTCTTCGTGCCCGAGCTCGCCATGAGAGAATGGAGAGGCCGTATCACGTGCAGAGGCAAGATTTCCTTCGCCAGCAGGAGCTGCGAGGCTATGATGCCACGATCGGAGAACAAGACATTCCAGCTCCGCGGACACCAAGCCCTCTGGAAGAGCAAGCTGACTATGTGGATGAGGAGCTCAACATGGAAGAGCTTTTCTTGGCTGAAGACTTCGAGGACTATGTCTTTGCCGTCACCATCCCCGAGCCCAAGACAGAGGCGGAATGGAGGTCGATTGTCAAAGACCCTTCCAAATTTGTGGCAAAGAAGATGGCCAAGGGAGTTGAAGTCAGCTGGCAGAAGCTCAACAACGTCCAGAAGCAGGCCATGCGAGAAGCGAAGGTCCTAGAGATCAACGACTGGTTGGCTTCTGAAGTTTGCCGTGCAGCCATCGGCAAAGTGCCTGCAGAGAGGCTCATGCGCATGAGGTGGGTCCTCGTGTTCAAGCAAACGGACACACCTGGCATGATCAAGGCAAAAGCCCGCCTCGTGGTTTTGGGATTCACAGATCCCGACGTCGGCCTGGTCTCCGTTAGGTCACCGACTTTGTCAAGGAGGGGGCGACAGTTGATGCTTGCGATGTGCACACACAAGCAATGGGGCTTCCTCAAAGCCGACGCCAAGACCGCCTTCCTGCAGGGTGAGATGGGCCAGCAGCACCGGCAGATCTTTGGACAGCCAGTCCAAGAATTGAAAGAGGCAATGGGCCTGAAGGAAGGCCAAGCCGTCCAGTTCCTCAAGGCTGCCTATGGCCTGACCATCGCTCCTCGTGAGTTCTACTTGTTTGTAGATGAAGTGTTGAAGAAGCTGAACATGGAGCGCCTCACCACTGAACCATGTCTGTGGCGCCTCACGGACTATGACCCTCGGCTGCAGAAACAGGTCACCATTGGCCTAGTTGGAGTCCACGTCGACGACTTCCTCATGACTGGAGATGAAGGGCATCCCAAATGGTCTGAGTTCCTGCAGCGGTTCCATGAAAGCTTGAAATGGTCACCTTGGGAGTGCGCACCCATGATGCACTGCGGCGTCCACCTGTCACAAAAGAATGATGGTGGATGGATCCTGGACCAGAAGGAGTTCTGCGAGCCCCTCAACCAGGTTCAGGAGGATGGCCACGCTAAGGAGCTCACCGAGTCCGAGCGACGCCAATGTCGAGCTGTGCTTGGATCAGCTCAATGGCGAGTCTACCAGACGGCACCCCATCATGCCGCAAAGCTCAGCCACCTGCAGTCGATCCTGCCGAAGGGTGAGAGAGAGGTCCTCAAAGAGATCAACAAGTTCACCCGCGAGCTCTATGGCCAGAGGAATGTGACCTTGGAGATCCACAACCTCTATGCCGAGAAGGACGAGGATGTGGTGGCAGTGGCATGGTCAGACGCAGCGCTGGCAAATCGCGCTGATTTGGGCAGCACCGGCGGCATGCTGATCGGACTGGTCCACAAGGACATGGTGGACAAGGGCCAGAAAGGTCCGGTGAATGTGATCAGCTGGGGCAGTGCAAAGCTTCGTCGAGTATGTCGCAGCAGCTTGGCAGCAGAGACCCAAGCTTTGGCCGAAGCAGAGCAGGAGCTCATGTTCGTCCGCGCGATGTGGATGGAGATGATGGGTGAGAAGGTGAACCTCCATCGACCAGGAGACACTGCTCAGAAGATGAGGGGCTTCCTCATCACGGATGCGAAGGCCCTGTACGACTCTTGCCAACAGGGCGATATGCCTTCCTTCTCCTCCAAGGAGAAATACACGGCCCTGGAGATCCTGGCCTTGGTGCAGAACATGAAGCTCCAGGCCACAGAGCTGCGATGGTGCAACTCGGACATGCAGCTGGCCGACGGGCTGACGAAGGTGGGAGCTCAAGATCGCACGCGGCGATTCCTGGAAGAAGGTCAGCAGTGGAATGTGGTCTACGACCCAAAGTTCATTGCCGCAAAGAAGCTCCGGGCCCGGCGGCTGCCTGCGGACGCTCCTGAGACCGAGGAGTTAGGTTTGGGTGAAAGCACGTGGCTGGATCTGATCGGAAGCTCACACACGGGGCATGTGAACAACTCAGCTAAACATATGTGTTTCGCTTCCGGTCAGTGAAGGACATGTGCGACTTCCGTTGAACCTTCTGGTTCAAGGGCACCCTTCAGCCATTGGCCTTTGCAGGCCACCGGTTCGGCTACTGTGCGCACTTGCCGCCATAGCTGTGGCACTTGAGGCCTTGACTGGCCGCGAAGAGCAGACGCCCGTGGACGGGCCCTGGTGTGCGGAAAAGAACCGCTACCTGTGCGAGTGGCCTTTGCTTTGGTTGGAAACCCCTTTCACCTTCAAAGGTCACACGGCTACCGACATGAAGGGGCTTTTCGGCTGGGGTGAGTGGAGAAGATCAGATTGGAGCTGAAAGAGTTCATTTGGGATAGAAGATTATAGAGATCATTTGAGGTCTGAGGGTGACTTCTGCCTTTGTGGGGATGAATCATGCAAAGCTTCTGCACTTCTGTTGCTGAAACCGACTCGGCAGGTAAAGCTGCCCGAGAGTTTGCAAAGTTTAACCTTTGGCGCCTTGGACAAGGAATGACTTGGATCTTTGGTTTGGGCGGACGAGGACGGGTGTAGCTTGATGCGCCCCAACGGGATAGTGTATCTGAAACAGCACTTGTGAGCCGACTGCTGCTGCTGCTGCTTCTTTGAGACAGCAGAAACATGCAGAAACCATCCGTGTTTGGGATCAACAAGAAATCAACAATATAATACTACATCTTAGGGCCAGAAAGGGGCCAGAAAGGGGCCAGAAATTCAGGGAAGGTGATCTCAGATGTTCATGTCCGTAGACTGGTTAAAGGGGTGATCCATCTCCGTGTCCTACTCTTGGAACGATGAATTCCTCGGATTTTCCCACACGTTGCTTGGCATTCGTCGGTCTTCCCACATCATCTTCCCACGCCATGCATTCTTGGGGCAAAAAGACAAGGGACTCCAGCGTCTACCTAGCGCTTCCAATGGGTGTCCAATGGTGAGCTATAAGCAGTGTAGGGTTGTCCATTGGTAACCCCTTGGAAGCAGCTGGTACAATGCGGCAACACTACAACCTCCAGAACTCCAGAACTGTGTCTCTCTCTCTCTCTCTGTCAGACCCGGACACTTCTTGAACCCGCCCAACTTCGCCAGCTTCCGACCAACCCCTCTTCCGCGCCCACTCAGAGCCCTCCTTCCGCTCCTTGGGCCCCTATTCCGCAGAAAATGGAGTTGGGGAGCTTTCCAGGTCATGCCTTTGACCTGTCCATGGACCAGGTGAAACTCCCGGACACGCTTCACACCTTGCCCCTTCGGCGTTCACCCCGACGGCAGCGGTGGGCAGCAGCGGTGAGTCGAAGTCTTCGGGATGATATCCATTCAAGGTCGCCACTTAGTCACTAGGGAGGCCATCGCTATTAGGTTGGAGGCCATTGGGCCATTACTACGAGTTACAAGGACGCTACTAGGTTCTAACCTGTTTTTTTTCATGTTGTGGGGTTCAAACGTTGAAGTGCGCAATGGCAGGCAGGTGCAGGTGCGGGCGTTTTTTTTGTTCTCTTGTTTTTTGTTTGCATGGTTCGGGGGCGTGTCCTTTGATCCTTGGCGGATTGACGGAAGATCATTGGAAAAGTTACTTTGTCGGATTCAGCCCGTATGCTTCAGAAGCGAGCCCGCATTTTTGTCCAGACAAGTGTTCCTCTCAAGTCATTCCAGAAGATGGGTGCCAACACTACCAAGATCGAACGTGACTCTTAATGACTTGCCAGCCGACTGGCCCACACAGCCAGAAAGGGACTCTTAGCTCCCGTTCACAGCTCCCGTTCGCCTCTCAAAAAACAAACACCGAACTGGGTGGTTGCAGTCACGTGAGTGGGGACGTTGGACTGACACGTGGTGCCGACTGGGTGAATTTGGCCCTTAGGAATGTCCAGCCATTTGTGGAGTGATTGCTGTGTAAAATATGGCGAATGTGTGACGATGGGATTGCTGGTCTTCCGAGGATCTTCGGCTACAAGTTCGATCAAAAACTGGAGCATGTGCCTGGGCAGAACGACCATAGCTGTTGGACTTGTAGACGGGCTGCCGTGGGTACCCGCGCGGCACGGCCAGAAGCAAGAGAAGTTCGGTTCCCGTGGTGGTCGGCCAAGTGAGGTGACTTTTGGCAGCCCCGGACAGCTGTTCTTTCTGAAGGACGACAAGAATCTAGAACAACTTTCGTCTGACATGCTTGTTCATGGTGTTGTCTTCCATATCCAAACACTCAATGTATGCAATATATATGCCAATACATTGACCCCTGTTCAACCACCTTAGCTGATCGGCATATATTCCATGCATGGATGGTCTGGGATAGGTAGCATGAAGCTACTAGAATAACAAGTGCATCGCTACTAGCAGCAAGGTATAGGGCATTACTAGTATAGTAGCAAGGACGCTACGGTTCCTAGCGATGCCTTTGCTTCGGTCTTCCCCCTTTTGGGTGACCGAGCCTTGCACTCGGTCCCCCGCCGGTGTCTGCCGGTAGGTGACGTTTCCCAGCGCTTTATGCAGCTTGACCTTCGGGGAGTGCTTCAACCAGTCCCTGGAGCGATCGGAGACGCCGCCAACCGCGGCCGGCATCCGGATCGACCGATCGACGGATCAGTCAGCGCGAGGCTTCCGCGGAGGGTTCGCACCGCGGCGGGTGGTTTCGAAGTTCACGCGGATGGGGCCGTGGAGAACGGGTGGGACAGGTGGCGATTTCGGCGGAAAGAGGGTGTTGCAGGGCGAAGAAAGCCTTTGGCAAGAGGGCTCAGTTGGTTCACGCAACCTGACAGAGGCAGGTCACCAAGAAGTTCGGAGACCTGAAGTATAGTTCAATCTAGAGCTTTCTGTGCATGTGAAGTGGGCCCTTCCCAAGCTTTCAACTTCTCGACCTAGTAGGCAGGTCAGTCAAGGGTATTGGAAGCAAGCAAGTGTGTGCTTGCAAGTTCTGATGAAACATGGATCTCCAAAAGCTCCCAGTAGCGTCCTTGCTCCGAACGTAGCGATGCCCGAAATGCTCCGTTCGTAGCGTCCGATCGTTCGGCCAGGAGCCCCGAACGTGGCGTCCGATCGCTCCAGAAACGTCCATTCCTTGGGACCCACCCGAAGTGTTTGGGAAGTTCCCTACCTGGACCATCCCATTTGGGTGTCCTGCGACATCGGCGTCCGGGCGTCCACACCCAGATGGTCGGATGGACCTGATAAAGACCATTGTTACTAGTAAGGAGCCCCGTTCGTAGCGTCCTTGTTTTAATGGTCGACTGGACTCCCACAGTGATGAACACATGTTGTGGCGACGGCGGGGTGGCGAAAGTTCCGAACACGACGCCGGGGTTGTGCCTGGCGAAGGGAAGATGAAGGCAGAAGGCCTGATGAATCATGGACACGGCGCTACACATGGCTGGTGGTTCATAGGACTTTCTAGTAAAAAGTTTAAGGATGCCTCTTTGTTCTATGTTTTTTCGGTGTGTTGCTTGAACAACAAATGCGCTGGTGCCCATGTTCGTTGAAGAGAAGCCAGAAACGTGCCATCTTGGACAAATCACTTGATTGGGGATTATATCATGCTCAGTCGCTTTCCTTGCTTCACGATCTTTTTCGGTCTCTCCACCTCCACCTCCACCTCCCTGTCCGTCCGCCCTGGCACAGTACACACCGGACCGGACCGTCCGACAGGAGCGGGTGCAGCTGCCCTCGAAGTTAAAGCACTTGACCTTCGGCCATCGCACCTCTGAAGCCCGCGGGGTCGGTGTTTCTGGGGTGGTGGTGATGGTGGTGGGACCGGCATGGCGACTGTTTGAAAGGTGGGGGGAGAGGTTGGTAGCGGCAGCCGGCGTTGATGAGGTTTGGGTACCTGCTACAAGAAAAGATTGAGAGGTCCAACCTGGCTGTACTATCAAAGTCCTGTCTGTTCACGTCAGGTGGCCCTCTTCCGCACCCCGAACGCAGCGTCAACGTCAGGTCATTCTCGGGGACTTGATGCATCCAAGTACCCAAAAGAGACGCAGAGATCCAAACTTCCTGCAGCTTGAGTACGTTGAAACATCTCGAATCCATCACACCGGTGACCCATTTTTGTGCACCATTTGTGCACAACGGAACAGGAAGGCACCTCATGTGCGGTGCTGTGCTGTGTTTTGCTTGAGCTTTGCACCGACCATCGCCCGAGGCTTCGACCAAGGCCTAGGTCCCTCGGACCGCGCGCGGCCACGCGCGGAGTGGACCTGAGAGTTCGGAGTGGTTGGTTGGGCGCTGGGCTGTTGGTCCCGGGTCTTTCGATGCACCTGCAGGAAGGTCTGGTGTTAATCTCAGTGTTTGCAGGTGTACATACGTCAGCTTCATACGTCAGCTTAAGACGCACACGACGTAAGCAGCCAGATCCACACACCACACCCTTCTGAAGTCGGCCTTTGGCTTGGTTTGCAGAAGACGTAAGTTCCCTTGGTCAAGGCGGCACGTGCGTCCTGTTTTGATGTTGTGTGCGTGTGTCGTCCTGTTGGTCAAGAACTCCCCAAAGCGATGGCGAAGCTGAGAAGCGTCAGGGTGTCCCATGGGCTTCCTCACCCGTACCCGAGCTTGGAGTGCCTGGAATTGACGGAAAAAACACCTGCGAAGGTACTTCAAGGAACGGTGGTGAGAAAGTACTCTTCACATGTCCGTTTGGCCAGAAGCCTGCTCAATCCGTAAAACAATAAGGAAGAAAAAGAAAGGGATCATCGGGATATTCTGCCCATGTGTCTTCGAATCATGGGCCAACGTGGAGAACAGCTCACCCGGATGAATTGGTGCCCTAAGGATCCTTGGACCCTCCTTAGAAGGGGTCAAACCCTCTATAACAAGGGTTTGTACCCTCATGTACCCTCAAAACCCTTGTTTTTGAGGGTGCGGATCCTTAGGGTGATATAATTGTGTTTGGATAGAGATGTTTGCAGAAGGGTTCAGTGTGACTATGGACCAAACACTCGACTGTCGGGTACGACGAACAAAAACGAGAACGCAGGCGTGCCCAAAACACCTTCATGAACGCACGCCAATGAGACCTTCATGGACAGAAAGAGGGAAGGTAAGCATGTTTGGTCTTGTGTTTATGTCTTCATGTTTGCCAATCCTTGTCCTTTTACAGCAGTGATGTAGGCAGGCAGTGATTGGAAGTCTAGGAGGGAGTTCGACCACCTCACGTATACCTTCCCCTGAATCATGGCGAAGTGAAGGTGGTTGAGCTGTTCTCCACGGCCTTCGAGTCCTCCGACTTCCAACTCCCGGACGCATAACAACTCGACGGTGGTGGGGGGGGGATGCGGCCACGTGTGGGTGTGACCAGGTGACTTGCCCGACAGCCTGGAGACCTTGACCTTTGGCTATGCCTTCGCCCGCAGTCTGGAGCACACCAAGCTCCCGGAGAGCTGCTTGCCAGCGGAGACTGTGGTAGGTGTGTTGAAGAGACACATGGTGTTCAGTTTCCCGGATGCTCATGGAGACCTATGGCGGTGTAAGTGGTGCATCAGCCAGTTTTTCATCACTGTTTTTCCCCCCTAACACAAGAAATGGCTTGATGGTAAGATTTCTGGACCCTCCTAAGTAGGGTTCGGACCTTCATATGGAGGCGTTTCTTGGGGTCTCAAATCGATATGGGTTTTGAGGGACCCGTCGGGCCCCACCCTCCAACTCCGACCTCCCCTTGCCGCCGGTCGGAGTCGGGTTGACGAGGTTTGCAGAGCTTGACCTTCGGCGACAGCTTCGATCATCCGCTGGACTCGGTGCAGCTGCCGCAGGCCTTGCAGTGCCTCACCTTCGGCGAAGGCGCGGTGTTCGCGGTGTTCCACGCAGCGCGGAAGACGGAGGTGTCACAAAGGGGTCAAGGAACGCAGCACATGCGGAGTTGAGGCGCGGGCACCCTTCAGGCCCCACAATTGGAGAGTGAAGCTAATGTTGAAGCGAGAATGAACATCAAGCTGACCAGAGATTCCTAGCAATTCCTAAGGCTGCAAGGTAATCATCTAAGGTCCAAGCAACATAAAACTGTGGCCCTTCGCTGCAGCATCCGCAGGCTTTACCCAGAGCTTGGAGCATGTGGTTCTTCCTGCCCGGCTGCAGTGCCTCACCTTGCGCTATGAGGATCAGCAGGATTGGAAGGCGCGTGTTTTCGCTGTGGCATTTCAGCTGTGGTGCGCAAGCACTACGAGGTGATGTTTTAATCGACGAGTTCAATTTCGAGATTCTTTTGAGCCAAGCTCCGTTCAAAAGATTGACAGGACTAGTTAGGTGACTGGAAACCATCACTATTCCAGTCCTTGTGACGCAAAGGGGCCGGCACCCTGTGTTTGAGCCATAGCCATGTTGCGCAGTGGGTTTTTGTCCCACCAGCGCTTCTTTTGATGAGACCCAAGTGAAGGGTTCGGACTTGCTGCTCTCAGCTGAGGGCTTTTGGGAACTCTCCTGGTGGTGGGGGGGTCAAAGGGTCCGCAAAAGTAGCAGTCCCAGGGGTCGTGTCTGGGTCTGCAAAACCATGTCCGCCTTGCCCCCAACGGCGGCGGCAAGAAATGAAAACGGTGGAAGAGATGAAAACGGTCGCCCAAGAAATCTCAAAATGCCCTGAACATGTGGGGGCTTCGAAGGGATTGATCATGACATCTCCAGGTCTTGCATCCTGGCATGGTTTGTGCAGGTCAAACACTAATCCTTGAAGATGGAAAGCCCTTCATTCATACCTGGCCATGTGCCCTCGCCAGGTGGTGAACTTCCCCGAGGAGCTGCCCAACCTGATCTTCGGTGGGCGTGGCTCGGATGAATCGGTTGAAAGACCTGGACTTCTCAAACCAAACGCCCATCCGTAGCGTAGGTGCCACGGATGGGATGGGTGAGAACAAGGTCTGTGAAAAACCATGCCAAAACCCAATGTTTTGTTTGGACTATAGGGACTATAGTCTCACCACCTGGAGATACCTTCCAGCTCTGTTCCAGAACTCCGAAAAGAACACCCCTTTTCGCCCGCGTCGGACCGCCCCCCACAGGCCGCCGGCTCACGCGGCGGGTTCGGGGTTCGGTCGACTCGATCCAAGGGTGGCAAGGCCTGCAGGTCCTCCCATGGTTCCAAAAAAAGGGAACACCTGTGTTTGGTGAACTTCCAGGGCGGTCCAGGGAATGGCGCCACGAGGCGCCACATGGCGCCTGGTGTAGTTCAGCGGGTGTTTCACACCCTCAGCTACTTCAAGATGCTTGTTGCTCAGTGCTTGTTGCTCACAAGGTTCAGTTCTTCAAACCGCTCTTTCGGCCGCGTATGGCGCCAGACCTTGTTTCACTCATGACCGAGGTGCCGAGGCGTCCCCCGAAGAAAACGCCCAAACCGAGCGTCCTAAAGTCAGGTCGGCCCCGGCCAGGGTCAACGAGGAAAGGAGTACGATGGTTTAAGAATCGAAGGGGTTAAGAATAAGATCTGGGAACTTTAGACCCTCCTTCTGCAACAGCTTCAACCCCCAAAAGGAGCACCTTTCGGACGCCTGGAAGGGCCTGGAAGCGCCCCTGATTTGAAAGACAGGAAGGGCTTCGAAGCCCAGCGTGGCGAACATCGCGTGGAGTCCATCGCCGGTCGTTACGAGTCCGCCGCCTCCAGGCTTCGACCAGAGCCTGGAGGAGCTCCGGTTCCCGCGCTTGCAGAGCCTGAATTTGGGCGATGGCGCCTTGGGCGGCACGGGCGCTACGGGCGCTACGGGCGAACGGCATGGGGACGTGAAGGGACTCTGAAGGCACGGGGACGTCCGAAAAAGAAGGACCTTGGTGTGGGTCCGCTAGAGGTCGCGAATTGGAAAGAGGCATATTTTGTCGATTGTAGCCATTTCCTACCCGGACCATCCGCCCATCTGGGTGTCCTGTCTGGATATCTCTAAGTAGTAGGCTGGGTAGTCCAGCTAGGACACCCAGACAGGATGGGCTTGGTAGGTACTTTTTGAGAGGTATTGAGCCGTTGGTGAGAGATTTCTACAACCGTGTACAACAGTCAGGGCAGTTTCAAAACATTGCAGAACGCAATCGGGGAGCGATCCGTCATGTGGGGTTAACTTTCCTGAAAGGGTAGAGGATTTGGGATGTTGAAAAGCTGCACCAAAATCCAAGACCCAAGAACAAGTTGAGACAAGTGCCAACAGATCTGTGGCGAGTTAGGTGGCTTTCTCAGTTGGCTTGGTCATTGCGTTCCAGTCACCCAGGTCATCTGCAGCAAAATGAGTTGGTTGTCCAGCACTAGACAAAAGACACATCGAAGCACGGTACTAAAGCTAGTTCCATTTTTGCCGAAAAAAACAGATGTCTAAAGGTCTACAGGAAAAGGAAAATAGAACACACACTGATTCCTTGATCCAGTTCTGGTTGAAAGTCATTGATCCTGTGCACCCTCCGAGGCTTCAACCAGAACTTAGCGAAGCTCGGCCTGCCTGACAGCCTCAAGAGCCTGAGCCTAGGCACCGTCCATGCCAGGGACGGAAGTGGTCTCAATCCGCCGAACTGTGCCCGTAGATCGGGTTGTAACTGCCCAAAACCTGAGGAATCCGACGCTGGAGTGACTGCACTGCAAGTAGCGCAGTGCTTCCTTCCTATTCTCTACGACCCTATCTAGATGCTTGCTAAAGGTCATTCTGAGAAACGAAAGGGGTCCAAGAAGTTGAAAGCCAAATTGAAAAAAGAAAGGAACTGCATCCGGGCTTCTTTCCTTTTGCCTCTTCGCATACACTTATAGTCACAGCAACACATACCTGGTCTCAACTTCACCTGCACCGCTGCGTGGCTCCGCAAATACCGCCGAACTCGGCGGCGGAATGGGGGGACGGTCAGGCGACTTCTTCAATCAGCGCTTAGATCAGGCCGATACGGGGCGATCTTCTCCCATGGGGAGCGAACCGGGGCCTTGCTGTTCGTACAGAGGGCGGGTGGTGACTGTGGACTGTGACTGTCGGCGTGACTGTCGGCCAAGGTCGAACAAGCTTGAGCAACAACCTGCAAGCTTCGAAAAGAGGGTGGATGCGATGTTCGCCCAGATCCTTCAACCCTGAATCTGTCACTTTCCTGAAAAGCCTCCGACTTCGCCCCTCCAACGCACGAAAACACCGGACCACCACTTCTTCGTCCCCAAACGGAGGAATCCATCCGTCGGTCGAGACGGCCGGTGGTCAGTCCAGGTGGTGTGGCCCAGTCAGTTGGAAGAACTGATCTTCGGCCACGCCTTTGATCAACCCTTAGAGGCTCCCGTGCAGCTGCCGCACTCGTGGCTCGGTGGAGCACTCGATTCACCACCTCCGCCCCTGCACGGTGTACGGGGCTCGTTGGGGTCGGAGGGGTTAGGGGGTTGGGGTCGGAGGGGAGTGTTTTGGAATTGGCGCCAGATGAAACGAAGAGGGAGGGTCTCAGAATTGGTGGTGATTGATGGGGAGTGGGAGTGACCTCGTCGACTTGGGCCTCCTCAACGCATTCGAGTTGGGTTCAATCATACGTCATTCGCACGGTGATACCGTCCTGGCACAGAAGGCCCAAGAGTGGGACCCTAGAAGATGTGAACTCCTCCTCACCCAACGTGTCGGCTCGTCTGTTTGGAGGGTGTAGGTTCTGTATTCACCATTGGTTCATCCATTCTACTCGTTGGCCCCAGAGTCAGAGCCAAAGAACGTGTAATGTTTGAGCCGCGCGAGCCATTTCTGCACGGTGAAGCATGGTGAAGACCGGCAGAACGACGGATGCTTCCAAGAAGTTTTCTCACCTGGCCATCGCTACTAGTAGCGTTCGGACGCTATGCTCGGTGGAGGCCATCGCAAGTAGCTTGGAGGCCATTACTAGTAACAAGACGCTACGAACGTAACTCCCGTTTACACCACACCGTCCTGACCGCAGTCGGTTCCCTCATGTTCCATCCCCTCCCGTTCCTGTGCCGCGTTGCGACCAACGACACGTCTCGCGGCCGTGGGGCCGTTGCCGAGGCTCAGCTCCTTGAACTTTGGGCATTCCTTCTCGCAGAGCTTGGAACACGTGGTCTTCCCTCCGCGACTCCAGTGGTTTGGAGACAGAGGGAGGGCGAGGGTAGTCGGTAGGGGCGTGGACTTCAGGTTGGTGCCGGCCCCGATGCGGCAGGCGATGTTGGGCGCGTCCCATCCAGTGAGATCGATGTGACAGGGGCACCAACAACAACATTCAAGTTCGGCACCCCGTCTTGTGACCCCTGGAAGTTTTGTCAACACTTTGTCAGACATGGTTAGAGGATGTTAGAGTGACACTTCTGGTATAGACAGGAATCATGAAGGGGTGCCTAGATTCTGGAGATAGGACGGACAAATGCAGCCGGCAACATCAAATCTGGCTCGACTTGAAGATCCAGAATGCAGGGTTGGCAAAGCAGAAGGAAGCCTGGCTTTTGTAGCCCTGCTTTTCTGTTTCCACTCATTTGTTCCAGGTCCACCTATTCTGAGACATGTCCATGCATGATAGTCTGATACACACTTGCATGAGGTCAGGTCAGTGGTCAGGTCTTCTATATACACTTGAAATGAGACTCACTTCAAGGTGTGACAATGATCTTTCAAGAGATGTTTCAATAGACCCATCGATGACCATGTAATATATCGACTTCTTATCTTTAGACGTGAAAGAAAAGATACGTCCAGAGTGTCCAAACATCTCAGGCCTTCGTCACTCGCGCGACGTCACGCCGCGCCGTCCGACAACTCCATGAGGATCCTCTCCCTGGGAACTTGCTTCGACCAGCCCTTGCAGAAGGTGACCTTTCCAAAGACTTTGCAGACCTTGTCTTTGGGTGACTCCTTCAACCAGCACCTGGGCGATGAAAAGAAGACATCGACATCTGACCCATGGTGGAAGTGGATGGGAAAACCATGCAAAACCACCACCCACCAGCAGCAGCGGTTTTGGTCTGTGCCAATCTTGATGTGTTTGTAATTTAGTCGCATTGAAGTGTTTGGTATGTGTTCTCCTGTTTGAGGGGAAACCTCTTGCAGCAGTGGCAGCGTCTGTTCTGGGGATCTCTCCACCCTGTGGCCAGAAACGAAGCAGAAACGAAGCCTGCGATGGCGGGATTCGCCCAGGGATGTTCCAGAAATCTTGCACCTCCCGAGGTGTTTTGTGGGAAAGAAGTGGTTGATTCGACTCTCCCGGGTCCATCTCCAAGAAGTGTTCTTATCCAATAGCGATGGCCTCCACTCTATTAGGTTGGATAAATGTGTTTATTACCAATTAGCGATGATCTCTTGCCCAAACTGTCCGACCCTGAAGGATTCCCTCTTTTTGGAGCCTAAAACGTGGGTCTTAGATATTCAATTCTTAGATGTTCCTTTCAGATCCTTTCAGAAGAATACGTCAAATGGGCTCCCGAGTGGTTATAGCTTGTGTCTCGCGTAGATCATGTGTCTTTAAGAAGCATGTTTGGTTTTGCGGGTGCTCCACGAATCGTGCTGAACCGGAAGACGAGGTCCTTCGATGAAGTTCAGCTGCCTGATGGCCTCAAGAAGCTTGGCAAGCCTGGCGGAAGCGGCCGCGGGGCCGCCGCCGATCCTTTCGGCCGCGGTGGGAGCGTTCGGCACCAAGGAACTTGACCTTTGGGGACCTCTTCGACAGGAGCTTGTTGAAGGTCAAGTGGCCGAGTGACTGGGTAGTGAGCGATTTGGGTAGAGCGCCTGAGATGGTCGAGGTTTCAGTGAGAAGAGGCAACTCAAGAGAGTGGTGACGTGGTTCCTCATGCCAATTCAAGCAGCGGCTCGGTGTCAGTTTTTGAGGAGGACCAGAGTGTTTCTGCACTACTTTCCTTTCATTAATTCCTGGACATTCCTGGACCATATGAGACCTCATATAATAAAGTTAATCATCATGAATCAGCAAAGGCTTTCCTGGGCCATTTAGCTTGCCCTCAACAAAGAAGCTCAAGGAAGCCCAAAACGCAACTGACACCAAGCACCATTGATTTCTTGCTCAAACCCACCCGGTATTGGCGGTGACCAAGAATACATCGGTGCCGGAAGTCGTCTTTTTTGGACAAAGAAAGCATCCACCAGGAGTCACGTGGAGTTGGGTGGTGTGGCTCGACCCATGCGTCGGGGCCGTGGATGTCACCTACCGACTTGTTTCGTTCGGAACCAGCGCGTCTTGTGACTCAAGTGCTCTAGAAGGCCGGCCCAGTGCTCTTGGGATCTTCTCAACGGTCCGAACACCTCACGTGAAAAAGTCGAAAACCAAGCAGAAACAGCCCAACAGAAACGACGTGGCTGTGGCCAGCCCACACGCGACCCGCGACTCGCGACCCGCGACTCGCGACCCGCGACTCGCGAGCCGGGACGGTTGGACCTGTTTGGCCGACGCGAGGTGAGCTCGAAAGCCTCAAGTTCGGCTTCGAGTTTGATCAATGCCTTGAGGGAGTGTGCCTTGGGGCACCGAGACGAAAGGTTCGGCGGAGCCGCCGGTTCAGGGCAGGGGTTGGTTGCACTGATTCCCTGGAAGGTCCACTACCAGGACCGACACCCAGTGACCTCTTCAGGATTGATAGGTAAGTGACCTTTTCTTTCGGCCTTACTTCGTGACCGACCCGCCACTGGGATCTCAAGGACGGTCCAAGACGACTGTTGAAGGATTGGTGGTTCAGCGACCCGGGAAACTTCGTTAGCGCCGCAAACATCGTCGACTTGGACTTCCAATGGGATTCATCTTGTGATGCCGAGATGATCGGGTGGAAGGCTTGCCAACTGTTTTGCTTGTCAACCTGAATTCACCGAACCACTCATGGCGGAGTGGTGCAGAACCGTAGAAGCTCGCCGAGCTCGCCTACACTTAGAAGCTTGCAATCATCGACTCTCCAAACAGGCCACGCTGGTTTTGCTGCAGGTGATGATGTTTGATCTTCCCTACGGTTAAATCCCCGTGCATTTGTTCCAGGTTCCCACCAGCCCACCAAAGGCTTCACCGAACAGCCCGCCCTTCGGCGGGCTGTGACGTGTTGGGGCAAAAGGTCTCCCACTACTTGTTTGGGGCGAAACGAAAAGAAAACAGTGACCACCTCAGTGAGGGACGATGGAACCAGCTCCGCGGGTCCGTACCGTTCCTTCCCCAAAAGGCGTTTTCGGTCGACCGGACCTGTACACCGGTCGGATCCCGAGGAAGTTCCCCGAGGCCTTGCAGACCTTGGTCTTCGGGGGTCGACGCTCGGGCGAACGGAAGAGGGAGAGCCGGGGAGGTCGGCGTCCGAGGGAGAGGGAGAGCGCCGCCTGTTCCTGGTTCACCCAACTGAGGCGCGCGCCTCCAAAACGGATTTGGCGGAACAAGACCCCGGGATCAGGTAGGTCTTGTTCCCTGGATCTTTTAAGGTCTAAAGCTTCAATTCGCGTGATGACTGATGGGGTGACGGGGTGGGGTGGGGGGATGAGGTGCAGGGTTGGACGTTGGCGAGACCCGTGTGTTGCTTTCAGTGCTTCGTAGGCGGCCAAGTCAGGCCAAGTGATGCAAGACAGGAGTTTGCAGCATCTCAGTGAAGGATGACGTTGCGTATCACCCCAATAGGGATTCCTGGGGCCAAAGAAAAGCGCCACTTAACAGTTCATGTACCCAATCTGATGCACCCCAGAACTTCTACACAGAGAAGCGCTATCTCTTCATTGGAACTGCCCAACTGGTCAAGAAATCCATGTTGTCGTCACTGAAACATGAAGTGTTGGTGGAACAGAAACACAAAGGAAAGCGAAAAGCATCCATCCTAATAGCGATGGACTCCAACCTACTAGCGATGGCCTCCAACCTATAGCCATGGCCTCCAACCTACTATCGGTGGAACGAAAACACCAATGTTGTGTCCAAAAGAGTAGCCCAAAACCCACAAACTGATGGGCTGTTGATGGGAGATGGGAGTATACAATTAGACTAGGGACGCTCTTTTTCGGGAGTGAGATACCTAATTCTTTCAATACACATCCCTATCGAGCTTCCCCCTGAATTCCCAGAATTGGTTTAAGGGAAAATCTACAGGCAAGCCATACCTTTTGGGCGTGAAAGTAAGGGTTTCCTGTAGATGTTCCCTTAAACCAACTCATTGATGAATGGTATATTGACTCTGAATCTGGGCCCTGAACCACGTGACTGCCTGAAGGCACACAGAGGATTCTTCTCCCCTCTTGCCAAAAGGAGGAAGACTCAGACGGCATGTTGTCTTTCGGCTTCCCCGACTCAACCAATGTGCGTTATATTATGCAAGCATAGCCCAAACGGATGTAGCGTAATTTGTCTGACCTTTCTTGAATTCGCAATTCCGGTGATCTTTGCATTGATCGTGACATGTAGAGACACATGTTGGAAAATTAGAGTGTCTAACTCCGAAGTGCCTGTGCAAAAACAACAGTAACATGACATAGCAATAACGTGATCGCAGCATTCACGGCCACGTGCGAACACATCCAGACAACATTGTCGAGAAAAGCTACAGCATACTCAACAAGACAAGAAAAGTTCCAAGAGAAGACTGGAGGATAATAAAAAGATGCAGAGCACTTACCACTAACAAAGGAAGAAAAGAGGAAAACGAAAGGCAAGAAGATAATAACAAGGCTACAAAAACCAAGGGCGACAAAAATGAGCTGTGACAGCTACCGGTACTGTGCATACCAGAAGAAAGAAGTGGACATGTAAACAAAATGAAAATCAAATGACCCACAGATATTGCGTGAACCTGGGAGGCATTGAAAACTACGTCGAACTGCTTAAAAAAGAACTTTGAGCATGTCTCGTAGGCTTTCACTGTCCCGGCACGCCGCGTGATGTGGACATCGGTGGAAGCCAACCTGCAAGGATCTCAGACAGGAGCTCGTCGGCTCGCTCAAGAGAACCTCATTGCAATGCTGAGGGATCTGGAGTGTCTTATCCCTGGGGCTCGACCTGGGCGAGATGCTCCAGTGCCACACGGTCGACAAGCTGCTGGACCTGCTGCAATTCAAAGCAGCCGCGTGTGAGGCTGTGCGCCTTGGCGCTGACAGGGAGGCCCTCCAGCCATGGCACGAAACAATCGTGTCGTGGCTGCGAGTGTCGCGGCCCGCTGGCGTGAAGTCGAATACGCCAACCCGCGGGACAAGGACAGGAAACGAGAGAGAGATCGATCAAGGTATATCCTACTACTCCACGGAATTGACAGTTTCAACGTAGGCAAAGTTAATACAACGCATCTCCCCACATTTGACAACAGCTTCCATCAATCCAGGAGAGGGACCGCCGCTCCCAAGCGCAGCTTGCTACAGAGCGAGAACTGGGGGCCAAACTGAATCGCTTCGAGAGGGCGCAGCAGGATCCTTGCACGAACCCCGGCAATAAAGTCCCGACAATTAGCCTAGCATAGGCCCTATCATAGGGGGGGTCCTAGGGGGTCATAGGGGTGGTCTTAGGGCCAATCAATCTCGCGCCCACCTCCACAGGCTCCTTGTACCCCTGCCAGCGACGACAAGGTGCTCCGCAACGCCTATGTGTTTGTTGAGTGTTGCCGGGTAGGGCTATCAATAAAAAATTATTTGTCACCAAGAAAAACTTAAGTCATCAAAAACAAATTTGGACAATCAAAAAATGAGTAAGCGATGCAGCGGAAGGAAGGAGAGGAAGGAAGGAATTTGCTTTGTCGATCCATTTGCTTTGGTGTATTCCTACCTATCACAGCAGTTTGGTGCAGTTACCTTTGGATCTGGTCCCCCCCAACCCCCGCCGTGCCACGAAATCTGCACTCCATCTTCGACACCCGTGCCTGCCACGAAATCAATATTTTAAGGTGAACTCCATCTACTACTGTGCGACTACAACAACACTCATCCCAAAAAATATCTAATCAAAAAGATGCCAATTCCTTTTTGCTTCTGAAACATGTAATTTTTTTGCTAATGAGTGGTGTTTGGCCTGTGCAGCTCACGATATTTTAGATAATTTTTCCCCAAACAGCGTGGGCACACTGAGGGGTTCTTACGGTAGGGGATAGGAAGGTGTGCTTAGATGCGCGCGGGCGTGTCCGGCTAATTCGCTGCTATTTGCAGTACATTCACCTCTCGACATCGTCAATGTGCACTTCGATTGCGCAGGCTCGCAAAATCTGCCTGCCGGCGGCGGGTGCTTTTAGCGACTGCGTTCTCGTTGTGGCGCCATGTGCATTTTGGTACATATGGTGGTCACTTTTCGTGGCAGGTGCAAGGGAAACCTCGTGCTTTGGTGCTCCAAAGTCGACTTTTCGTGACAGGTGCAAGGGATCGGAGCTGTTCTACTTCGAAGTGCAGTTTTCGTGGCAGGTGCAGCACATGGTGGCGATCGTCGAAGAGCTCTGATTTCGTGACAGGTGCAGTGAATCGTGATATTCGAAGTGCAGATTTCGTAGCAGGTGCAGCACTTTGTGAACCTCGAAGTGCAGATTTCGTGGCAGCCACAGCACTCTGTGACCCTCGATGCGCAGATTTCGAAGCAGGCGCAGCGCTTTGTGAACCTCGAAGTGCAGATTTCGTGGCAGGCGCAGCGCTTTGTGATATTCGAAGTGCAGATTTCGTAGCAGGTGCAGCACTTTGCAGGTACAGCACTTTGTGAACCTCGAAGTGCAGAGTTCGTGGCAGGCACAGCACTCTGTGACCCGCGAAGTGCAGATTTCGTGGCAGGCGCAGCGCTTTGTGATCCTCGAAGTGCAGATTTCGTAGCAGGCGCAGCACTTTGTGAACCTCGAAGTGCAGATTTTGTGACAGGTACAGCACTTTGTGAACCTCGAAGTGCAGAGTTCGTGGCAGGCACAGCACTCTGTGACCCGCGAAATCCAGGTTTCGTGGCAGGCGCAGCGCTTTGTGATATTCGAAGTGCAGATTTCGTAGCAGGTGCAGCACTTTGTGAACCTCGAAGTGCAGATTTCGTGGCAGGCGCAGCACTTAAAATTGGTGAACCTCGAAGTGTAGATTTCGTGGCAGTCGCAGCACTCGCTGAACATTGACATGCAGATTTCGTCAGATTTCGAGGCAGGCACGGCGCTCTGCGAGCGCTTTGTGAACTTGGATGCGCTGATTTCGTGACAGGTACCTCTTTTACTTTGCGCTCCTTGGTCTCACGGGCACAGGTACCTCACCTCGCTTCCTCTCTCGGGGTTCAGGCCTCACCTTCTACTTCTCACTACTTGGTGCTCGCGGGCGCGGCTCTCTCACACTGACATTCTCTGACTCTCGCCCTCACCCACTCTCACCCATGCTCACTCTCCCTCGCACTCACACTTACACTCACTCACTCTCCACTCTCACTCTCACCCTCACACTCATTTGATTGCAATACAGCTGGATAGCGGTGGCAAAAGTGTTTCTCATATACACTCCACACTGTTTGGGGTCTCTTGCCGGGATAATATGATTTAAATTCCCGAAAGCATTGCGAAGGGTTCTTCCGGAAAATCCCTTGAACACTGACACTGCGACACTTACACTTACACACTGACACTTCCACACTTACACACACACACACACTGGAAGAGCGAAAGCATCCAAGTGCGAAGTATGCCAGTGTCAAAGTATGCAAGTGTAAGTATGCAAGGGTGAGTATGCAAGCATGCAATGAGCAGGCAAGTGTGAGTATGGAAAACTAGCACGGGAGATATCCTAATGAAAAAACATTTCCCCACTTTATAAATTCTCTCTTAAAGGCGGAGTGCGGGACGAACAGCGTCAACCGAAAGTACAACCCTTTGCGGAGATCATGCGCGTCGAGTGCGCGAAATGCAGGCGAGAGGGCGATTTGTCCGGTCCGCGCGCAACCCTCTGCGGAGATCGTGCGTGTCGAGCGCGCGAAATGCAGGCGAGAGTGCGATTTGCCCGGTGTGCGCGCAACCCTCTGCGGAGATCGTGCGTGTCGAGTGCGCGAAATGCAGGTGAGAGTGCGATGTGCCGGGTGCCCGCGCAACCCTCTGCGGAGATCGTGCGTATCGAGTGCGCGAAATGCCGGTGAGAGTGCGATGTGCCGGGTGCCCGCGCAACCCTCTGCGGAGAT